TTAATGCGTGTGTCTCTCGTTTGAGGGTGTGGGATTCGAAATCAAACGAAAAGGTTTAGGCGGGATGCAAAATTTTAAAGGACTAACCTAGGGCTGTTATCTATAACAGCAGTTTATAGAAGTTAAAAAGGGATGTAGCTGTATATCTAAACAAATGTCGTTTGACAAAAACTGAATGAACATTTATATAAACACATAGAGGTCTAATATACTAAAGTTACATAAGATATATGACTCTATGAAAATATATGAACATGTATCTAAATTTATAGATAAATATTAATTCATTAACTAATTGAGAATTTTTGATTAAATTCGATTTTTTTTTTTCCAGAAAAAAACATGTTTCGATTGATTTCATGCATAGCCTATGCTCCATCGTCTGCTTCCTTTTCACTCCGAAATTTCTTGTTTTGTTTGTGCTCTTAGTCACCGTCGTTGGTTTTAAATATATTGTTTCTTCATCGTTTGCAAAAAAACTCTAGCTATCTATATTTGGTCGTTTCTTCTTCCCAGATCCACTTACGTCTTTACCTATTTTCTTAGATCCGGTTTGGACATTCACAAATCTGCATAGATCTATACTTTCGTGTTTGCATGTTCACAAGTTTTCTTGCGGCTCCATTAACTGTTCATCCCCCTCGTAATCCACATCCAGCAAGACCAACCTTGTTCTGTCTCCACCTGTTCATGTTTTTAGCAATCCAAGTTAATACATGGATATTCACAATTGGATAAGACTCATTATTTGCAAACGTAGAGCTCTATGTTACATTGGCTATGTTACCTTCGATGTATGTGTCATCAACCACCGGCGCTGCGTCCCTAGCAAAAGTTTGCACTGACATTTCAAGCATATAAACATAATAAACACGACGCTGTTTTTCTTATCGGTTTGAATGAATTAGAAAAGAGTTGAGAGAGATATAAACATAAGATCTGCATCTATTCTTTGTAGATCTATTTGTGAAGATCCAAACAATGTTTTAGATTCTTATTTGTATCGTGAAAGTTATCTTTTCTGATGAATAAACATTGGCGGTGTGAATAATAAACACAACACTGTTTTTCTTATCACTTCGAATATTAGAACAGAGTTGAGAGAGAGATGAACATGAGAAGGAGAGAGGTGCGTGGGGCCATGAGAATGAGAGAGGTGTGTGGGGCTAAAATCGGGAAAAAGGATGGCTAATTATTATCATTGTCTTGAGTCATATGGCCTAATACCGAAAATTTAAATAACTCAAAAAGTAGTGTCTCTCACCCAATTATCTCTTTTTAGTATGGTTTTGTTGTTGTGAAATGAAATATTGGAGTCATCTACACCTTGGCAATATCTAAAGTAGCACGAAAGTTGAAAACATGGCTAATGCTCCACCAAATCTCCAAGAGTATCAAATTAAATTGTAGAAATGAAGATTTTTTTTAAAAGAAAAATAGAATTTTATTGAAAACCCCGTAGAAAAATACATGTTCTGATAGTGTATAAACATCAGTCAAATATTGGGGGGGAAAGTAAAGAGGGAAGGTTTTCAGTGAAGTCTGCGTATACACTTCTAACAAGAGACAGTTCACCGCGACCAACTATACAAAAACTCTTTGATTGTGTATGACAAGTTACTGCACCGGAGAGGGTCAGAGTGTTCCTTTGGCTAGTAGTGAATCAAGTGATTATGACCAACATGAAAAGGCTGAGAAGACATTTGAGTACCACAGGAGTTTGTCAGGTTTGTAAAGGATCGGAGGGAATGACACCATTACTCATGTTCTCCATGATTGTCCCGCGATGGAGGGAATATGGCAGTGAATCGTACCCGTGAGGCAGCAATGACATTTCTTCTCAACATAAATTCTGGAATGGATTTATGAGAAATTGGGTAGAGGAGGAAAAGTCGAAGGCACGGTATGGGGTTGGAAATGGCGTTGTGGAAACGTCTTCGGGGTGACAGGCCAATGTCGGGACCGTGTGTGTTTCATTAAAGAGTGAAGTAAAGAGGTGACTAAAGCACATTTGAATCTGGGAGAACGAACACATACTGCGGAACGAATAGAAAGACAAATAGCGTGGGTGGCACCATCGGAGGGATGGGTCAAACTTAAAATTGATGGTGCCTTACATGGTAATCCTGGGATGGCAACCGCTGGCGTTGTCTTGAGAGATGGTGAGGGTAATTGGTGTTCTGGATTCCCTCTAAATATTGGGTTTTGCTCGGCACCATTGGCGGAACTATGCAAAGTTTATCAAGGATTATATATTACCTGGGAACGTCGCGTGACTCGTTTGGAGTTGGAAGTAGATTCTGAAATAGTTGTGGGTTTCTTGACATCGGAGATTACTGATTCTCACCCGTTGTCCTTCCTAGTACGGTTGTGCTATGGCTTTCTATCAAGAACTGGATAGTCCGAATTTCGCATGTGTATAGGGAGTCAATCGTCTGGCGGATAGATTGGCTAACTATGCATTTTTTTTATCGTTATGTTTTCATTCGTTTTCTTCGATTTCAGAAGATGTTGGTTCAGTTTTGTTAGATGATGTTAACAAGGTTTACACACGCTAGAAATGTTCGATTGTAGTTGTTTTCATTTTAATTAATAAAGTAGGGAAGGTTTTGTCTCACTCAAAGCCTCCCTCCTCATACCAAAAAAAAAAAAAAACATCAGTGAAATAACAAAAAATCTCTGGAACAATCATACTTGATTTAATTAACCAAGACCATCACCTCTTATGTTGGACAAACGAAGTTTGTGAGTAGTATCGCCGGTTTTTGAAACTTGTCGTCAACCTCATTCCTCTCTTAAGGCACTTGAATCAACTTGACCTCCATAAATACCTATAAGGTACCCACTCTTTCAGTGTGTGTTGATTTAGTCTTTAATTAGTAGGATTTCTCCCTCTTCCTCAGTCACAACCATTATTGAAACTGTATGCATTTCTACAAATGAAGAATCACTTTGCATGGGGGCTGGGGCCACGATACACGCTTTTTAGTGAGCAAATAGTCACGCATGACGACAAAACAACAATGCTCCAATGGATTGATCTTTAATAACAAAACCTATGTCTTGTTAAATCATGTGTCATTTTCTTTATCATCTTACATCCTAGTCGATCTCTACATGTAAATAAATTAGCTAGTATCTTAATTTTAGTTACAACTTGCAAGCATACTTACAAAATCTTCTTGAACATTTTTGGAATCTTATAAGCAAGATAAGGTTTTGACTTTTGATATTTTTGCCCATCTTGAATAAGAAACTTTAGTTAGTTAGATTAGTTTTTTACCTTTTTAGTTGTAGTCAAAAAAGTTTGTTAGCTGAAATCACGTTAAACACGAGTTATACTAACAAATTTTTCTAGTCGTCATAAATTTTACATTTCTTGCATTTCACTGTTTTTTTCTTAATGTATGCTTTGTATTTGAGATTGAATGTTTAAAAACAATGTAATTACATTACATTATCGAGACTAAACAATTTTAAGTTATTCTGCTTCTGATTTCCTTGTCTCCTAGCAGCTGTAAATCGAACACAACCAAATCTCTCACCCTCACATCTTTATGTCGGCAGTGAAATTACTTATGTTCCAATCAAAAACGAATATGACAAGTGTCATAGTTTGTCTTTCTAAAACCGAACCATGATTTTGCATATTCCAAATAGATATATCACTTGCCTTTTTTATTTCTTTGAAAACGAGTGTATGTAAAACATTTGAGAAATTTTACATATCTCTCTTCTCTTTTGTACGATAAACATTTAAAAGAATAAAGGAATAAATTCCTCAAAAAGGCGAAAACCAAGCTCGAATTTTGACTATCAAAATAAATATCGACCAAATCAATTTTACATTTTTACTTTTCTAGATATTTGAGAAATGACGTCAAAAAAAGAAGAAGAGAATTTGAGCAATTTTACATTTCTCTTTTCTTTTTTGTACGACAAAAAAAGAACCAACTGGAATAAATCTTAAAAAAAAAAAAAAATTTGACTATCTTTTACTTCGGTTTGGCTTAAACCCAACCAAATCAATTTTCCTTTTCTATTTTTTTAAATGAGTGTATTTTTTTTAAAAAAAATCTCTTTCTACGACAAACATAAAATAACAAAGAGGAATAAATCCTCAAAAAGGCAAAACCCAAGCTCAAACTGAGTAAGAAAATAAAAAAAAATCGAGCAATTTCTTCGGTTTAGTTAACCAGCAAACCAAATCAAATTTCCATTATTTGTTGTCTTTTTAATTTCTTTCAAAACGAGTGTATTTAAGAAAATTTGAGAAATTTTACATTCCTCTCTTCTCTTCGTAGATTGTTCGAAAAAAAAAAAAGAATAAAATCCCCAAATCGATTTGTTGGACAATAGACCAATTTCTTCGGTTTACCTAAAACCGAACCAAATCAATTTTTACTTTTTCTAGATATTGGAAAAATGTCATTATAAAAAAAAAATCTCTAGAAATTTTACATTTCTCTCTTCTCTTTCTACGACAAACATAAAGAACAAATAGGAATAAACCCTGAAAAAAAAAGCAAAAACCAATCTCGATTTTGAGTAAAAAGTCAAAAATCAACTAATTTCTCCGGTTTACCTAAAACCGAACCAAATCCTTTTTTTACTTTTCTGAATTTTCCTCTTCCACAGCCGGCCAGCCCTAAGTAAGTACCTCTCTAACTTCTCCTTTACTCTGTATTTAACAGAAAGAACCAAAAACAAACGAAAAAATGGATTTAGGGATTTCGAAAAGCCATGACCTTTAACTTGTCAACAATGGCGACCTAACTTTTCTAATTCCAGAAAGTAAGCAACTTTAAGCTTCTCCATCTTCCTCTTATTCAATTAACATTACCATTTTTATTGGAGCTTTTAAATCAGTGCATCAGAATCGAATCTCACACCTTTTTGGTTTCTTCCTCTTAGCCCATCTCAAAAACTCCAGATCTGGTTCCATAGGAGAAACAAATTCGTGGGTCATTATAAAAATCCGATTTTTTTGATTAAAAGATGTGGTCGGTGATGGGTTTAGTGAGACGTACGGCTATGTCATCCACCGTGAATAAATCTTCTCCGGTTAGGTCTTTGCTTGGTGGGTTTAGGTGTTTCAACGTTGAAGATGAGAAAAAAGATATGACTGTTATGGAAGCTAAGAAGTTAATGAGATTAGTCAATGTTGAAGATATGAAGAAGAAGCTTATTGGTATGAGTGATAAAGAAATGGTTTCTTATAGTGCACTTATTGAATCATCTCAAGGTTTAGGTATCGCTAAATCTCTTGATGAAGCTCATGCTTTTGCTCGTGTTCTTGATGATGCTGGTGTTATTTTGATTTTTCGTGATAAAGTCTATCTTCATCCTCATAAGGTAGGCTTGTGAAATCTTAAAAAAAAAAACCTAATCTCTGTTTTTATTAATGTGACTCTGTTTTTTTGTAGGTGGTGGATTTGATAAGAAAGGCAGTGCCTTTAGGTTTGAATCCAGAGGATGATTTGATTAGAGAAGAGTTTGATAAGATGAGAAGTATGAAGGAAGAGATTGATGTGTTAGCTCATCAACAAGTGAGGAAGATTCTATGGTGTGGTCTTGGTTATTCAGTGGTTCAGATTGGTATCTTTGTTAGGTTAACGTTTTGGGAGTTTTCTTGGGATGTGATGGAACCAATAACGTTTTTCACTACAGCTACTGGGATTATTGTGGGTTATGCTTATTTCTTGATGACTTCTAGAGACCCAACGTATCAAGATTTCATGAAAAGGTTGTTTCTTTCTAGGCAGAGGAAGTTGCTTAAGAGTCATAAGTTTGATGTTGAGAGGTTTAAGGAACTTGAGAATAAGTGGAAGATAATGTCTTGCTCTTCTTCTTCGTGCCACGCAAATGCATCGATTCGGAATCGTGTTGGTGTTGATCTTGATTTGGAGGATTCTTTGCAGAGTCGTCATAGAGATTGATTGGTTTTTTATGATCCAACATCAGTTTCTGGTTCTTCTAACCATTCTCGTTTTGATAATATACTTAACCAGATTTTCTTCTCTTTGAGATTCTTATTTGATAATCTTGAGCTACTGTTATCTTAATCAGCTCATGTTTTAATCTTTTTCTATGGTTAAGGATTTTGATGGATTATAACTATGTTTTAATTGTTTAGACTGTGGTAGTAACTATGATTTTGGACTATTGGATTTATCTTTTTTCTCTTCAGTATTTGTTTCAAGGGTTTAAGCCTTTGAGGGTAAAGTGGTACCAAGAAAACGAAAGTGGATAATTTAATGTCCAACACATGCGTCGAAGAATATTCAATTCCGAATTAAAACCTCGTGTCCACTTTAAAAAAGCACACTACGGTCATCGGCCGTCTATATCAAACGAGACTACCACACATAAACCGACCATGCACTAATAAATGTATTTGTATGAACATTATTGTCTGGGTATAAATTTATTGTTTTGGTTAAAGGGTATTAAGTTTATTAAAAACATATGTCCACTGGACTATTTCCGGAATAGGTCTATACATTAATCTCTTTAAGGTTCAATGAAATTACACTAACCCAAACTAAAATTGAAACAAAAATCGATCCGGGTAAAAACCTGATGTAGACCAGTACATAATCGATCTAACCCGGGTATACCGAATCTTTAATCTTTGATCGGAAAACCTGATCAAATCTGCTTTCCAATGCAGCAGCGAATACTCGTCGATTCAGGACCACCGACGAGCCAGGAAGACGGGAGTCGAATGGAAAATGCGACACAGGGCCATCGCCATCCCGCCACCGTAGAGTTGTGATGAGAACAATGAAGAAACCGATCTTGCAAGTCGGTAAACCACAACTCAGTCGTGCGAGAGATAAAAACAGTGAGGGGTAGATGAGGAGAACCATCGACGGTGTCTTAGCTTTGTCTTACCGGCCGTAGACCTCTCCTGTCAAACCGCCGGCCGATCTCGCCCCCGGCGATTCTCGATCTCGCCTCCGCCGGAATCTTGAGCCCATTTCTTACCTCCCCGATTCCTCACTGTTTCGCCTTCCTTTCAAGCAACTTAATCGGTTTCCTCGCTGTCTAAAGCTTTCCGAAGCTTCAACGGAATTGAAGCTCTTGCCGGAATTGAAGCTCTTGTCGAAATTGAAGATCTCTCCGTCGTCCGTCGGGAAGAAATGAAATGAATTGAATTTTGTGTATTTAATGTTTATTTATTAATTTTTTTTTTTCAAAAAAAACAAGGTACAATACTTCATTTAAGTGTTATTTTTGTCCCAAAAACTTGATTTGGAGCTATAAGAAATCATTTCTCAAATATTTATTGTTTGGTCTTAGAAGTAATCTAACCACCATTAAAAAATCTTGTGTTCTCAATGTTTTTGGAACTTCTATTGTTTTATTTTGAATAATATTATTCATCAATCAAAAATTTGAAAAATAGTTCATACATGTCCACTAGCGTAATTCGTTACAAAAAAAAATCATAAAAGATCCTTTTAAGACAACGATCTAGCTTGGATCATAAAAGTTCATTTTAAGACAACGATCCAGTTTGGATCATCTGCAAGACCTTTTGTTTCCTATGCTCTTGTGGTAGAGGAACTTGCTTTGGAAGTGGCGATCAGCCCAACTTTAGCGATAAATGTATCAAGGTTGGCCTGTTATCCAGATTGTCAAGAACTCATCCTTCTTCTCAATGTCGATGGCCATGCAAATGAAGTCGACGGTCTCTCTGCGGATATCAGATATTCGAGGACCAAGCTTCTCTATCTTTCCTTTCATCTTGTAGTCTCACTAGCTATGTCTGTAGTTGTTTCCTGTAACATCTCCTCCTCATATAGAGTTTGAGCTATCTAATATAATTAACTAAATAAAGCCCGCCTAAATCGGCGGGTGTGAAAAAAAAAATCTATTTTTGATAATATTTGAATTATAAATAGTAATATACATTTTTATATATTTAATCTAATTTTTAACCAAATTTCAATCTGAAACATTCTATTTTGCAATAAAATTAAACTATTTATTTCATTATAATAAACCTTTTAATTCTATACACTCCATCTTAATGGATAAGAGCTAAAAAAATTAATTCTACATACTCCATCTTATTGTTATACTCCATATTTAAATTTTAAATAGAAATCCACACATTTTTTCTATATTAGTATTCTAACTCTCATCTCAATTTATCTATTCTATCTAAATATCCTTAAATCATGTAACTTAAGTTTTTTTTTTTGAAACTAAATTATTACTATTATGTGAGTTAAACTTTAGATATTAGTAACTTGTCCTAAACGTTTTACTCGAACATGACTATACTTACTTCTCATTCATCTTTGAGACTATTGAGTTTTTCCATCATAATCTTTATCCATGCATCTCAACATTTTATGTATTTTGTTGACATCTATATTTTACAATTATCTTAATAAAAAAAAAACTAATTCCACAAAATATACGAAAAACATTAATGTTTGTTGACATCTGGACGGATCCCTATTTCAAAAAACTGTTATATTATGAATTATATGTAATTATAGTTATCCTTATCATAAACTATAATAATGTTTCTTTTTTTTATATTTTTTTTCAAAGGATTAAGAAATCTTCAATATTTGTTTTTAATTATATTAATAAAATTAGTTTTTAACATGTGTCGATATCTCATTAATAAACTTGACACGTGGCAGGATCATATGAGTTATTAATTTTGAAAACCATATTTTATATAATAAAATGGTTTACAAAAAAAAAAAACATAGCTCTTGCTTTCTAACGCATAAATAAGCCCAAAACTGATTAGAAGGACGATTTTCAAATTTAGTAGAAGTCATACTAATGGTATAACTCTTGAAATGGCCAATTTGCCTTTAATCTTCAAAAGTCAAAGAAGTTATTGAAATCTTTTGTAAATATGAGCAATATGCAACAAAAAAAAACATATAATATTCATGATTTTACTCTTTCTCTCATCTCTGGTTTCAACCTCTAGCCTTGTGGTTTAGATGAAAGATTTGAAATTCAAGTAGAAAAATACTTTCATAATAAAATTATTGTTGTTTTCATGAAAATCTATGTTGTATCCACATGGTGTAAAGAGAAAGTATGATCGCCACATTCCGAGTAGAACTAATAAAAAGATTTAGGAAGATTTCCACAAATGGCATCCAAAAGTTTTTTTATTAAACGTTATTCTAATTCTTCTCACTTCTTCGACGACCCGACTTTCGATCTCGATTTTGCCTCCGGCGATTTTCGATATTGCCCCCAACGATTTTCGATCTCGCTTCCGCTGGAATCTTGTGACCATTTCTTACCTCCCGATTCCTCGTTGTTTCTTCGTTATTCGCCTTTCTCACAAGCAACCTATTTCAAGAAATAAAATGAATTGACTTTTTTGTATTTAATGTTTATTTATTAATTAAAAAAAAAGTACTTCATTTGAATTCTATTTTTATTTAGTAAACGTTTAAATGCTATTTTTATTCCAAAAACTTGATTTGGAGGTATAAAAATCCATTTCTCCAAGATTTATTGTTTGGTCGTGGAAGTAGTCTAAACCACCAATAAAAAGTCTTGTGTTCTCAACGTTTTTAGGACTTCTATTATTTTATGTTGAATAATATTATTCATCAATCAAAAATTTGAAAAATAGTTCATACATGTCCACTAACATAATTCGTTACAAAAAAATCATAAAAATTTTCTACTCACAAGTCATCACACATTTTCTTTATTTTTGTTCTTTTTTTGTAAAAACAAATAAATTATCCAAATTAGTTTTCAAAATGCACATAAATTGTATTAGGCTGCAGATAACTATTAAAAAAAAGCATCGATCCGTGAGAAAAGTCTCTAATAATTACAACCCCAAATCAATTGGGCCTTTGGATACTTTGGTACCTATGGAAGGCCCGAAATAGCTTCATTTTTGAAAATATTTGGGAGTCTCCTCAAGACACGATTATTCATGCTATCTAGGAGGCGACCGCGTGGAAATTAGGAAATACTCAAGAAAGTCCCCCTGATGCAAGTATTGGAACACCCCCTAGTCCTACAATTTTGGAAGCTACTCAAACAGAATGCCAAATTGATGGCTCATGGCTCTTAACTGACCCCTTTAGTGGCCACGGGTGGATTGTTATGCATGGCGATACACCTATCTTCATGGGATTACGGAGTTCCCGACGTGGTTTATCCCCTCTGCAAGCGGAATTCGAAACCCTTCTCTGGGCAATGGAATGTCTCATCACATCCTCGAAGACGCATTTTGGCTTCGTCTCGGATTGTGCTGAGCTACTATCTATTCTAGATAACTCGTCTTAATGGCCTAGTTACAACTTTTTAAACAGTTAAAGCTGTCTTTCCCTTCTTTCTGTATTAGGTATATTCCTCGTAGTAAAAATGTCTGTGCCGATTGTCTTGCTAAAAAGGTACGTGCACGAGGTTCTCTATTTTTTCATGTAAGCACATCGGCTCCGGATTGTCTCTCTCTAGAGAAAAGCCTCCGTCCGATAACTTAAATAAAATGAGTTTTGGCGGAAAAAAAAAAAAAAACAATCAATTGGGCCTTTGGTGGCTAAACATAATTGGGCCTATGTGACGAAACATTAAAAAATACATAAAAATCCTAAGACGCACGTGGAGAGAATCAGTCGTCTTCTTCGTTTGGATCTCGTTTTATGAAACCACCGGAAGAACCCACCGGAAGCTTCACCGGCGATTCAGTGCTTGCTTCTATCGTCGACTAATAGAACCAGAATACGACAAATCCAAATTGTGAGCTGCGTTTGACTCAATCAGAGAGAAGTCATGAACACTCACAATAATCGATACGCAAAATGGAAACAGAGAGAGCTTGTTCTTATACTCTTATACGCCATCGCTTTTTACGCTTATGTCGTATGGAGATCGATTCGTCTCTCCCACGGTAACTCCAGTTTTCGCACAAATCAATCAATTTCTAAGTAAATCTTTAGAATCTGAGTCATGTGATTGTGATTTGGTTGATTAAATTTTAGATCATTACTTCAAGCTCCATGGTTTAGCTCCTGGTTGGCTCATTCCTAATCGACGCAATGTAATGTGTGATTCCTTAAATTTTCATTTTTTTCCCAAGTATTCTGATTACTTTTGAAGCTTATAATCTGTATTTTGGTTGTAGGATGTTTCTGATGCTCAATGGAGGAATTTTCGAGGAAATTTGCCGATTCTTAGCTTTGTTTTCGCGGTTTTCACTGTGATTGCAAATGGGTTTAGGTCCTTTTTCCACCTGAAAGCTAAAGGAATGGTGATCTTGTGGCTTTCGATGTCGTTTATATACTTGATTTACTTACATGGAGCTTGGTATTGCTGATTCCATCTCTCCTTTTTGCTTCCTAGCATCACTATTGTTTGTTTCTTAAGTTTTTCTGTATCTAAGCTGAGTTGTTTCGGCATTCACTTCCAGCGTCATTTACATTCTCTCGATTGCAACAGCCAACTTCCTTCTTGTTAAGGTATGTCCCCTCGACCATTCCTAGGATTCACCTCTTAAAATCTTAACCTTGGCTTATCGGTAGTCTGGATTGTAGGAATGTATAGAATTAAGTGTAAAGCCTGTCTCAGCTTCTTGTGGCATATACAAGTCATGCCTACTTTTCAGATTGAGCTTTTTAAGCTGATCAGAGCTCACTAGATATATATTAATGCAGGTTTTTGCACGGACCAAATACTTTCCTTTCATGCTTTGGACGTTCAACATATTTTTTCTCTTCTGCAATCGCATTTATGAAGGATATTCGTTCTCCATTTTTGGGTGAGTCATTTACATCTCATATTTGACATATTGGTGGAGTAATTGTAGTGTGAAAGTTGGTGTAAAGCCTTAACGCTTTTGTTATCTCTCTCTTTATCCAAGGGAACAGTTTGAATTCCTGGACAACTTTCGGGGCACTTTTAGATGGCATATATGCTTCAACTTTGGTATTGTTTTATCAAGTTACCCATGAATGCAATTTTCTTTATATGCTGAAAAACACAATCTGACTGCAGTATGTTGCTCACTTATATATTCTGTTGCAGTTGTTCTGCGCATGATAAGTTTTGGATACGATTATCACTGGAGCCAACTGGATTCTCATTTTGATCAAGAGGTGTGTTGTTGCCTTTCATGATGCGGCTTTTCTACACGATTTTGTAGTGATATGTATTGTCTTCCTATGTAACACTCTGGTTCTTTCTGATATCGTTTACCGTAGTCTCTCAGTAGTTTTGGAATAGGTGTTCATGAAATTTAAATTTAGCATTTTGTTCGAGAATTAAAATATCATCCACAAAATCATGTCCAGTTATGTTCTCTTGGTATATATAGGCAAGTGCTGCTGATATTCTTAGTTGCTTATTAATTTTTCTAGGTTTATATCTTCTAATATTTTTCCTGCGTATTTGTACTGTTTCCTTGATCAACGATTGACAGAAACACGTAACGCGCTGTTCCTTATGTAAGTTGGGGAAGACTTGCTACGTAGTGCGACAGGTTGTCTGCGTGGCACCAACAATTCACTTCTATTATTAATGCTGTTTTGCTATTGCATTACTTGTTTCTAACGTTGTGTAAATTATTAGGAGAGAGGTCTAGCAAGTGATAGCTGCAGTTTTTCTCTATACCTTTGTTATTTGGTGTATGCACCCTTGTACCTTGCGGGGCCAATCATAAGCTTTAATGCATTTGCTTCTCAGGTCTGCAGTTCTTGTCCTGCCTTCACTTTTATATTCCTTTCATGTCTTTGTTTGTTTTCAAGATCCAAACTCTGGTCCTCTTGAATAAAATTCCATTTACGATAGTTAAGAGTTCATAAAGAAACATCACGTTTGTTTTTCATAGTGGTCGTGACTTTATGATCTCTCACTACAAGCCTATATTTTTACAGCTAGATATGCCACAGAATACTCATTCATTTAAAGATGTTGCTCGGTATGGAGTGCGCTGGTTATTCAGCTTCTTGCTGATTGAACTTATGACACACTTATTTTATTACAATGCCTTTGTGATCAGGTGAAACTCTCTTTCTGGACTAGGATAATAATTAGACTTAATCGTTATTATTTTTAAAAATCTCTTAATTATACAAGATGCTAACTTCTTTGCATTTGTGATAGTGGTCTGTGGAGAGAACTATCTCCTGTGGAGATATTTATTGTTGGATATGGGGTAAGACATTATTGATATCGGTATTGTTATGTTTTCCTTTAGCACTAGACAATCTAATATTAGCTCAAGAGGCTCTTAGAAAATTTAGCTGTCTGTTTAACCAGAGAACCCGAAACTGATCCGTAGTGCTATTTGTACTGCTGCAGGTGCTAAACTTCATGTGGCTTAAGTTCCTTCTTTTATGGAGATATTTCCGCTTTTGGTCTCTGGTATGCCCCTTTAAAGTCTTGAAATCGTTTTATTATTCTATGATCGTTTGGTGGAACAAAAGTTCTAGCTGTCGTAGGGTAGTTAACTTAGTCCTTTGTACTAATGACGTTCTGGTCTAAGAATTTTCAATAGCAAGCAAATTTCAAATTGTTGCTACTTTCATGGCTACAAGCTAGAAATTCCGAGAAATATCCCTCGGATAAAAAATTAGTATGCGGTTCTGATATATAATAATGTAAACATTTTCTTTAGGTGAATGGCATTGAAACTGTTGAGAACATGCCGAATTGCATTAACAATTGCTACAGCCTGGAATCATTCTGGAAAACCTGGCATGCCTCATTTAATAGGTGGCTTATCAGGTGAGTATTCAACACTAAACTCCTGGTTGCAACTTAAAAGCGTCAGTTACATCATTTTCTTTTATTGCCAGCTCTTGAATAGTAAGTTAACATCTTCCTTTAGGTATATGTATATTCCTCTAGGTGGATCACGAAGAAAGTTTCTGAATGTGTGGGTTGTATTTACATTTGTTGCCATGTGGCACGATTTGGAATGGTAATCTGTTGCCTTCCTATGATTCGGACTTCTCATATGGTTGTATGAACTACTCTGTCCGACTTCTCATATGGTTGCTGTTTCGTTTGCAATCAGGAAGCTTCTTTCATGGGCATGGTTAACATGTTTATTCTTCATGCCAGAAATGATACTGAAATCAGCATCCAATGCATATAAGGTCAGTTAAACAATAGTTGTTATAGTCACTCTATAAGTTCCAAGACATTTGAAGAATGAATTTGATGGTAGAGACTGGACAATGTGTCTGACTAGCAGATGATATGTTTTGGACCCGTCAACTTTCTAGGGACCTTGTTATCATATGTCCCAAATAAAAATAGAACCTCCATAAGTTCATTTGTAATTTGTTTTTCTTTTGTCCGTGGAAATTGTAGTTAACATGATAAGTACTGTTGCAGGTTGAGAGTGCTTTTGGAGAATTTCTCCTTCGTGAACTCAAGGCGTTGTCTGGTGCCGTCACAATCACATGCCTCATGGTAAATAGCTTTTGCTGAACATTCTTAGTCCCATTGGTGTAGTCGCCTTCATGCTGACAAATAAGATTGACTTCCTCAATTGCAGATTGCAAATCTTGCTGGCTATGTCATTGGACCATCAGGTATAAACTGGATGGTCTCCAGCTTTATTAAGAGAGAAGGTATATAGAAACCCCATGGTTATCAGTCTTCATTAAACGTTCTTTGTCAGAGGCTCCGGTTCAATAATGTTCATTCATTTGATATCACAGGAATACCTGTTCTGGGTGGTGTGTTCTTTAGCTTGTACGTGGGTACAAAGGTAGTGCAATCGATTTTCTATTACGCTAAATGTTTACTTTCTCTTTCTCTTACAACTTTGAAATGTTGTTTGAATGCTCCCAACTTTCCTTTCTTTATTTTGCAGCTGATGTTCCACATCCAAGACTTGAGAAGTGGGTTGCATAGCCCGAAGTAGCCGAGGCAAAGAGTTGTAATCTCCTCAGTTATAATCAAGTAATTTCATTATTGTTAAATTTTGTATAAAGTTTTGGTCGGGCTAACTGAGTTTGTCCTTGCTGGAAGAATCAATATGAAATCAACTTTTGCAACGGCTTTTGGATGGAAGATCACAGACCACCTGCACTTGATAACAGCAAAATGAATGCTTTTGAAAGGTATCTGGTAAATGAATGACAATCCCTGCATCCCTATCATAAGCAGTTTGTGCTCGAATCCTCTGGCGTGGACGCAGCCAGATTGTCCTCGATGGTTGGACCCTATGAATTTGATTTCCTATTCCAGTCCAACTCCTTACTGGTACTGTCTGCATTCCTTAGATTCTTTTCAGCCGTAATTTCGTAAACACTTCTTATATATTGTGGCACCAATCAAATTCATCATCATCACTTCCATTTCCTCGTATATATGGGGTTCTGCAAGAATCAAGCAGAATTTTACAAAGGACAGGAACTTCCTTATCTTAACTTTGATGGCTGGAACAACCAGAGGGTGTGGTGGTATTCGGTATAGCCTTGTCAAAACCATCTCCCCCAAAGAAAACACATCTAAAGTTTCACATTCCATCGATGTATTATCAAGATTTGCAACGTTTGGTGTACATATGCTACTTTCATGGTATCACGGACTATTCTGTGTAGCTGAAGACTCATCTTCAAGGCACTCATTTGATGGCAAGATGTCACCAGTGCAACAAGCGTGTAAGTATCAAAGTCACCAAGTCTCTTTATGCGTCCATAGGCCACTTAAGATCGGTTTGGGTAGGTCATTGGTGCAAGCAACATAATCCTTTTAAGGTGAAAGAGTGAAGGTGAAGATAAAAGTAAAAAAGCGAGAAGAGAACAGAGACTAAGTTCCATTACCGGCTTTGATAGCTTTAGGTGCGATTGAGACCATTGAAGAAACCCATCACTGTCACAAATTTGTCCCTCCCCAACCCAACAAAAACAGGTTAAGACAAGACACTGGAGGATTAAGACACAACTCTACTTTTTAATCATGTGGCTCTGAATACAAATTCTAGGTCTCTTAGACGTAAGGGAATTGTATAAAGTGATGATAGTGACTACGTTAACACCTAGAAAATGATTGTCATAGGAAGATACACGAAATAAGTAACAAGTGTCCGTCCAAATAATATAATCACCAGTAAAGACAAAAATGTGGCAGCTCCATAAGAATCTAAACTTCATTTTCTTATCTTAACGATTGGTTTTAGTTTAAAGGCTACAAAAATAGAATTTGTATGTGTGTGTGAAAGGAATAGACCTTTTGGTCAGCTCTGAAATAATTGCAATCTGTCTGCAACTGCAACATTCTGCGATCTGATCTAAGTTAAACCAAAATTATATTTTACTTTGGCAAGATCTTGATCTGGAATCTTTTTGTCAAAGGCTACTTAACTATCTCAGTTAAATCTCCTTAGTCTTGTAATAAATATTAAATAAAACGTCTTAGTAATTAATGCTCTCTCTCTATCTCCATATAAACCAAGTTTTATGATCAAGTCTAAACACATCCATGACCAAGAAGTGACAAATGAAGAAGCTTCTATGGAGTTGGATCATTCTCTTAAACATCCATGTAAATGGAATGATGATGGAGTTTGATGATATGGAGTGGTACACAGATTTCAATGGAACAAAGATGTTTCATACAGAAAATGATGTTTTTTCTGAAGCTAAGTTTCCTATGGTTGGACTCACTCTGATTCAATCTGCAGCTGCTAAAGGAGCTGGTAACATCTTTTTCTTTATACATTTCCTTGGGAAAATTTATGTTTCTTGTTACACAATTTTCGATTTTCTTGCAGTGTGTTTGGATGGAAGTCTTCCCGGATACCATTTGCATCGCGGGTTTGGTTCAGGAGCGAACAATTGGCTCGTTCAATTGGAGGTTTTGTGGAGCTAAAACATTCTCTTGTAGTATAGATATGACAATGTTTAGTCAGTTACATGATGGTCTTTATGTTTTGACAGGGAGGTGGATGGTGTGATACCGTTAGAAATTGTGTATATCGTAAAACCAGTCGTCGTGGATCTTCTTCGTATATGGAGAAGGAGATACCATTTACCGGCATTCTAAGTAATCAAGCCGCGGAAAATCCAGGTTTTTCTCTAAAGCTCCTCTGTCTTATAGATATAAATCACTCTGTATATTGTGTTAATCTCCTTTAAAATTTTCTTGTAGACTTTTATAACTGGAATAGAGTAAAAGTTCGGTATTGTGACGGTGGATCGTTTAGCGGGGACAGCGAAAATAAGGTTAGCATTTGCATTGAATTTGATAACTTTCTTGTGTTAAATTGATTGTTATATAACTATTATGCTACATATTAGGCTGCACAACTTCAGTTTAGAGGAATGCGAATATGGTTAGCTGCTATGGATGATTTGATGGCAAAAGGAATGCGTCAAGCTAAGCAGGCTCTGCTCTCTGGATGTTCTGCTGGAGGTCTTGCGGTGATTTTACGATGTGATGATTTCGGGAAATTGTTTCCTCCTTCCACCAGAGTGAAATGTCTGAGTGACGCTGGTTTCTTCCTCGATGCGTAAGTGATTTCCTAGTTTCCTTGAATAACAAGTATCAGTCATGACTTTGGTATACATATTGACTAGTTTTGTGATTTCTGTAACTGAAGTATCGATGTGTCTGGAGGTCGATCTCTTAGGCGGTTATACGCCGGTGTGGTAAAATTACAGGTTAGAACACATAATGTTGCAATGTGTTATACTTTGTTGCGAGATTACTAATTGAGATTTGTGTAATGTTTCTACAGAATCTGCAAACCAAGCTTCCTCAGGATTGTGTAAACCGTCTTAATCCAACTTCGGTATATATTCTCAACTTCAGAACCAAATAACAAGATGTAGTGAGCTAAATCTCCCTCCATGGTTTCAATATTGCAGTGTTTTTTCCCACAAAACTTAATCAACCAAGTCAAGACTCCACTTTTTATTCTAAATGCTGCATACGATTCGTGGCAGGTAAGTTATTTCGATTCTTGATCGTCAGCTTTATTATCAAGATTGTGTGTTTAATTAGTTTTGTTATTTTGTGCAGATCCAAGAGAGTTTAGCTCCAAAATCTGCAGATCCAAGTGGAAGTTGGAATGACTGTAGACTTAACTATGCCAAGTGCAATCCATCTCAGATCCAATTCTTGCAAGGTGCATGAAACATTAGCTAATAATAATGTTCTTGATTATTATTATTTTCGACTTATATATGTTCTTGATTTTGAATAACCAAACTAACTAATGTTTTTGAAATGTGTGTTACAGGTTTTAGGACGCGAATGGTGAATTTGGTAAAGGGTTTCGCGATGCCAAGTAAGAACGGTGTGTTCCTGAATTCGTGCTTTGCTCATTGCCAAACAGAGAGGCATGATACATGGTTCGCCAACAACTCTCCTGCGGTTAAGAACAAGGTAAGGCAAAAATAATGACGAAGTTTTGTTACGAATTATATAGGACTTAACAGGTTACATTTAGTAGATAATCAGTAACAATTTTAATCAAATTATGCGGAGTTTTAATTATTATTATTGATGTTTGTATAAACCAAAACAGGGTATAGCAGTAGCCGTGGGAGATTGGTATTTCGAAAGAGGAGGAGCAAAGCTCATAGACTGTGCTTATCCTTGTGACAAGACTTGTCACAATTTGGTCTTTAAAGTTTAATGATAGATTTAGTTTTTCTTTGGTATCAAAATTTATTTTTTTAAAGAAGCATCCATTTATTCAGGCAACACAATGAAATAAAATAAAACCCATTTGATTACTATTCCCTACATTTCTCTCACTTTGTGCCTAGAAACCTCATATCCACTAGTCCATTACTTTACTTATGTGAACTATCCATTTTTTTCTTCTCTGTTTTGTAAATTGAATATCACATTCTGTTTTGAATCAAACTGTGAAATCATTGTAAATTAGTGGTATGATTATGAAGAATGAGCTATTGAGCTTCTTTCGCCTTATACAAGGGCATTTTTATTCTACACGAATATATCATTTTTAAGTTGTAACAACACCAACTGTCTCCTTAATTCCTGATGTTTGGATCTACATGACTTAACATGGCATCATAAATATAGAAAATAGTAAAATATAAACACAATCAATACTTAAAATAAAAAATTTGGTAAAAAGTTCCCTAAAAAGTGAGATGATTACTTAGAATAGAACCTGGCCTTCATGAATCAGGTTCAACGAGAAGTTAGAACCCTCCACGTCTTAATCTTTGGTACCAAACATATCCATAATCAGATTTTATAATTTTGAGTTTGTAGAAGTTATAGTCAGAACAAGCCCACATGTATCATTTACAATTCTCTGTCGAACGAGCAACCAAAAAAAAAAAACATCACAAAAGCTTTTGATGGGGCTTTCACATTTTTCTTCTATGCACGTCTTATTCTTCTTTCAATTTCATTCTCTGCGACCAAAACGTGAAACTCTGATCCAAGCATGTCATATACGTCGATATTCTCCATGTTGCTTAAGTTAACAGTTTCCATGATTACTTCTAGAGTCACGGTGAAGCCTAGATTAGACAAGACCCGTATCGCATTCCCGATTCTAAGAATGCTTTTTCGAGTCTCAAGTGAAGTATGTTTGATCATCTCATCATCCACAATCATAGGATTTTCTGCTTGAATATGTTCCCCAACCCAAATAAAGCCATTGCGGCCAATAATCAAATCGATCCCAAGACTTTCTATGTAATGAAAGTGATGGTTGTTTTTCTTAACCAAGTAAGGATCAACCATCAGAAGTTGTCCCTTTTCAAGCTGTATAAGGGATTTATGGATTAATCATATTGTTTATAGAGGAAGAGACTGAAAAATTGTATAACTTAGACTATGTGCCAGATCAGGTAACCAACCTTGCTATACTTGTGACTTGGAGCTTGTAACTCCATACCGCCATCGCGGTGAATACATCCTACTTCGGCCTAGAGTTAGTCCAAAACAAAGGAATCAGGTCATGTGTTCAAAGATGAATATATTTAGAGATATGGACAACATGACTTACACAAACAACATCATCTTCAACAATGATATTCCGCATGTTGAGTTCATCCACATACGTTTTACGCCTCTACCAAAACAGAAAAACTTATATCATTGAACCAACCAGACAATGTGATTTTGAAATATACCAAACAATTGGGGAATCAAATTATAACCTGAACATCATTATCCATAGAAGAAAGCTTCAATATTCCATCTTTAGTAGAGTTGAGCTCCAATCTCCAACAACATTTTGAGACCTAAATAAGAAGATTCATCCTGAAACCCTTGTTGCTAAGCTCACTCAATCTGATTTCAAAACCCTAATCATCTATTACAAAACTTTACCTCAATGACACGTCCTACCACAATATCTTTAACCTCAGGCTTGTACCTGGCTCGCAAGGTATGTATATAGACGAGCTTGTCCACGTGAGTCACAACTCCACATACAGTCGCTAGTAACTCACCATCGACCTCGGAAGTTCCGTGTCCCCTTTATTTAAACAAACTCAAAACCATGAAAACAAAAATTCAATCTAGAAAACAGAGAAGCTGAAAAAGAACGAGATTACTTAAGGAGGAAGTCATCTTCGTGGATGGAGTCGGCGATGATAACAGAGTTGTTTGTTGTCGATGACAGCAATTGTAGCCGCTCCATAGCTTTCTTAAATCTGACCTTCTGCGTCTGGTTCAATGGTAGCTCTAGCTGAAGCTTTCTCATCACCATTACAAGACTCTTTCTTCCTAAATCTTAGCACCACAAACACTGGCGATTAAAAATTTGAGAAGAGCAAAAAAAGACACTAAGATATTCACGAACAACTTTAGGGTTTGTGGTTGAAGAAATGTATTGTGAGAGATGGGGACTATTATGCAATTAGTAAATAACCGGCGACCCTAAGTATCTAGGTTTAATCGTGTAATCGTATTGTGAGAGATGGGGACTATTATAAGGGGAAAAACGGTCTATTTCCCCCCGAGAAGTATCGCATCATAACAGATGCAGCCCAAACTTTGACCCCGGTCTGTATGTCTCCGAAACGGAAGTTAAATACTTAATTCCCCCCGAATCGAAAGTTCAACACCTAAATGTCCCCGAATCGAAATTTCGTCGGTTTGATGCGTTGACCCGAGGCCAAACCATAATTTGGTCGTAAGTTAAACCAAAAAAACCCGATTGCTTATTAAAACCCGATCCACTATTCGTTAAACCCCAAAATCAAAATTCCCAAAAATCAAAATCGTTTTCCCCTTTTCAAGAACCCTAAAATCAGAAATTTCGAATTGAAACCCAGAATTCGAGTTGCAGGATGAGCAATATTTCATCGAGTTCGACGGGTCCTCGTGGAAGAGGCAGAGTCTTCGGGGTGCCAATGAGATGTTGGTGTGGGGAAGATACTGTGACACTTCGAAATCCGATTCCAATCCTTGCCGGAGATACTATCGTTGTGGTGTTGCTGCTAAACATAGGGTAATTTGTTGCTTCTGTTTCAATTTGTTACTTCTGTATCTTGTTTTAGATTCTGATAATCGAGCAATGACTATTAATTTGCAGCTTAGGAACGATGAACACACGTTTAAATGGGTAGATGAAGCCTTGCTCAATGAGATAGATACATTGAAAGGAAAGAATCGGGAACTGGAGCAGGAGCTTAAAGAGATTAAAACACAGAGGTTGGAGTTTGAGAAGATCGTTTGCGAGAAGGTCCAAATGAAGATAGAGAAGGAGATATTTGAGAAGGTGGAAGATGCTTTGTCTGAAGCCAAAGGAAGCACGAAGAAGATGATGATTGTTGTTGTGATAGGGTGTATGATCATGATTGGATTTAACAAATTAGTCGGATGATCATTGATCACATAGTGAAGTTGTTGTGTTTGTTGAATGTTTTTTGTTTGAATTATGATTAAGACAATGGTGTTTGTAGTTTTGGATTCATGATCAAAGAATCTATGTACTAAGAGAATGGTGTTTGATTGTGTTAAGATATTGGTGTTTGTATTGTGTTAAGATAATGGTCTTTGTTTTGTGTTAAGAGAATGGTGTTGTTTGGATAAAGAGTATGGGTTTGGTCATGATGAATTGGTCACAACAAAACAGTCAAATGAAATCCATAAAATAAGAACATTCATTGATTAATTAGTCATAACATTACACATAAATCCGAGGAACCAAACAACATCCAAAAGGTTACAGAGGGATACACTAGTCATATGTGGTTGAAAATTACAAGGAGACAACCACATAAGTGCCCTACCTAGTTCTACCTAATTGCCCTACCTAGATCAAGCTTGAGTGAGTGAACCTTGACTTGGTTCAGGTTGAGAAGGCTGCAAAACAGATTGAGAAGCCTGTTTGACATAAATGAATGTTAGTAGAAGCAACATATGTCTTAAACTTAAATGAAATTGGATCAAAACATAAAACAAACCTTAGCTTTCTTCTGGCATCCCCTAGAATTGTGATCAGCTATCCCACAAATGCCACAATGCATGATCCGTTTCTTGTTCTTTGCTGCCTTCTTAGTTGGAGACTCATTGACACCCTTCTTCCTCTTCTTATCCTCTTTTGTCATCTTCTTCTCTCCTTCTGGTGGCTGTGGATTAAACACAGCAGGAAGTTGAGTCTCAGGCCAGAACTTAGGACCTCTCTGTGGACACAAACCATCAGTGTAGTTCTTTTTCCAGGTTGATGTCCTGAACCAATGACACACATAGTCCTCTGGTGCAAGCTTCTTGTCCAAGATCACTCCATACGCATGCTCACACGGGATGCCACGAATTTGCCACTTCTGGCATGTACATGTGTAGCTCTTCAAGCATACACGATGAGAATCTAAGCCATGTCTGACTTCATACATGCCATTGGTGCTTGTAGACACTTTTGCCAGAGAAGCAAACTTGTGCTCAGCAGAGAGGACCAATGCCACATAAGGAGTGCAGCTCCCTGCAAAACAAACATCAAATAACAGAGATTTAAGATTAAAAACAAACAAACCAAGACACAAAATCAGAACCAAATAAGATTAAAAGCAGAGATTTACCTGTGTGAGTGTGAGATTCCACAGACCTTTTGGCAATCCTCACCATAGCAAGTCGTCTTATAGTCTCTAACATAGCCACAAATGGCTTCTCTCTTGCTTTGTTCAGAGAACCATTGAAAGACTCAGTGAAGTTGTTGTCCACGTCTTCACAGTAGTTGCCTCTCCTCTGGAATGCCATGCACCAACTCATGGGATTTGTCTTCATGATATCATTGAATACCACTGTGTCATAGCAGAAGATCTTCTCCAGATGCTGCTTATAGTCTTTCTCATTATATGCCCATGCCAGATTCCATAACAGTGGCTTCATCCTTGTTTTGCTTCCATGATTCTTCTTCAAATTCCCATAAATGTGTTGCACACACATCCGATGCTCTATGCTTGGCAACTCAAGAGAGACTGCTTTGATCAATCCCTGAAACAACATAGAAATCAATACCACAGAATTTAACAGACAAAAGAAACAAAAGAAAACAAAAGAAAACAAAAGAAAACAAGAAGAATGTTACCTTCTGCCTATCTGAGAGCATGATGAAGCATTCACCATCACCTAACCCTAAGTCTTCCTTCAAATTCTTCACAAACCAAACCCAATTCTCTGTATTCTCCACTTTAACCACTCCCCAAGCTACAGGATAGATCTTGTTATTAGCATCCCTGCCTAATGCTACCAACAACTGACCCTTACCTTATTCTTCAGAAAACATCCATCAATTCCAAGAAGAGGCCTACAGCTATCCTTCCAGCTCTTTCTTAGGCTGTCAAAACAAACATAGAACCTGTTGAACATGTCTTTACCTTCCTCAGTCAGACAATCAACTTCTACATGTGAATAAGGATTTGCTTCAAGAATCTCAGCCGCATAGTCTCTTAATCTTGCAAATTGATCGTCATACTCCTTCTCAATCCATTGCCTAGCCTTCTTCCTCGCAGCCTGGCATTGATTCCTTGTCACACTGATCTTCCACTGTTCTTTTATGAGTTCTTCAATCTTAGCTGGCATGTAGAACTCCGGATTCTCTCTTATCTTATCTACAAACAACCTAGCTATATGCGGCACCTTAAACATCTCACACTCTCCATTTGGGATGCAGCTATGCTTATCTATGAACTTCCTAATCTTCCACATTGGATCGTTTGGAAGACTCGCGGCATACACTTGCCATTCACACCTTACTCCCTCTTCCTTACCATCATTACCAACACATTTAAAGCCAATTTTATCTTGATCATACCTGTACTGCTTCAGATTGCATCCGGTTCTTAAAGCATAATCGACGACAGCTTCTTTGAATGCAACTCCACTGAAAAAGGTTTGCTTCGGGTACAGATGCCCATCACCACGCCTGATATGAGTGTGAACTCTCTCTGGACCATCTGCGTTATCTTCACCGTCGCTCTCTGGGTACACGTCATGGCAGAACTGTGGTTCGTCGGTCCACTCATTCAACATTTCTTCGATGAGGACTTGGTCTCTTGCTTCGCCTTCGGGATCGACATCACCAACAACGTCCGGGTCATGCACGACTACAGACATCGCCTAATCGAGTTTGAGCAGCGGATTAGAGCAACATAAATCGCAATTTCTCTCTAGGTTTCTCTCTAGGGTTCTTCTTTCGATTTGGGGATTTTAGATTTTAGGGTTTCGAATTAGGGGTTTTGGTTTAAGAGATGTAATCGGGTCGTAATTGGGTAAAAAACTGGTTTAATCTGGTTATATTTAGGTTCACTTGGTTCGTTAATCGGTTTTGAATACAGTAAACCGATTAAACCCAGCTCTGTGTATTTTTAGCTCTCGAACTTTTGATTCGGGGACATTTAGGTGTTGAACTTTCGATTCGGGGGGAACTAAGTATTTAACTTCCGTTTCGGAGACATACAGACCGGGGTCAAAGTTTGGGCTGCATCTGTTATGATGCGATACTTCTTGGGGGGAAATAGACCGTTTTTCCATTATAAGGCTATGCCTTGACAACTTAATCAAAACAGAGCTTAACCTAAATTTTTAGGTCTTTTGATCTTCTGCTTTGGATTTTCTATCCTCTCTTTGACCTTAGTATATTCGTGTAACGCTCTTGGAGAGAGAAGGGAGATAAAGAGAGATTAGATAAAAGTTTGTTGATTGACTAGAAATTAACCCGCGGTACACCGCGGGCCTATATTTTTATTTAATAAAAACTAAAACTTTAATTTTTTCAGGTTATCTACATATATAACCTATTGTTTTGTTTGATTTAAATATGCATATATATATATATATATATATATATATATATATATATAGTGTATGTTTAGTATGTTTTAGGTTTCAATTTTAAAATATAGAAACAAAAACATACAGTTCATTAAAAAACGCTATATAGCGGATTTAAATATGAATTTATTTTGTTGTTTGCATATTATTATAATATTTTGCATTTTAGGGATTGACCAATGGTATTTGTTTTGTTTAGTATTTATGATTGTATTATTGTATTTTGAGTGTTAATTCTAAAATTTCATCCATAGTATACTGTCCCGTATTAATATCTAACCAAACCCATCCCACCATATAACCATGTCCCGTGAAATTAAACATCATTTTGTCATTTTTAATAGTATTTTACTTAAAAAGCATATAATATATATATTTAATTGTTATAGAATTAAAATATTATTAATATTATAAACTTTTTTATAGAATTTAAATATTATAAATAACTTAAACGTTTTATAAAGTTTAAATATATATAATATATAAACTTCTTATAAATTTTATAAAGTTGAAATATTTATAATAATTGAAACTTTATAAAATTTCTAATATTATAAATATTTAAAACGTTTTATAAAGTTTAACTTTTTATAAAGTTTAAACAATTATCATATTTAACTTTTAATAAAGTTTTAATATTTATAATATTTTGAAATATAATGCTAAAGTAAACGTACCTTTTAAGAATAAGCTGCAACACTTCTTAGAACACCACATTAGTTGTTTGTTTTCAATTTTGTTTTTTTTTGTTGACAACGTAAGTCTCTTAGAAAGGCAAATGTTGCAGCCACTATTGTAATACCCACCTCCTTTTTGATGCTTATAAATTCACGTTACACCAATCAAATCCTTGTTGACAGAAGCATGGATCTTAACACCCTAAATTAAAAACGAAAAAAACAATAATATTAGTGATGAAAATATTAAAGTAAAATAGATAAGGAATAAAAGTAATTTTTCTCTAATAATAATGAAATCGTGATGAAAATATTAGACTAAAAGAGATTAGTTTCACGGTTTCTATGCTAGAAAAAGAATTAGTTGCACTGTGTTTTATGATCGGAGAAGATGATATAATAGGGAGTATTTATAGTCCTGTAAAGTAGTTATGGAAGATCTTGGTGATCAAGAATAATATCTTTGGAACCATAAGGCATTTAGAATTAAAAATTTGAATTCGTGAAAATTTTAAAAATATGTGATATATTTGTTGTTATTGAGTAGTAATTAGGTAAGATATCATTGATATGTAATCGAATAAGGGGATATTCTGCGTAAAAAATATAGGAAATAAGAGTTTAATACCATTAAATCATAGATATGTAATTGAATAGGAGGTTATTATGCGTAGGTAATGTAGGAAATAAGAGTTTAATACCAAATAATTGTATTAAATATCTCTAAAAATCATAACAATACATGCTATGTTAGGTATGATAAGCTAGTAATTAGGAAACATCGATTTATTAATTTTCAAAGTGACGAATTGTTATAGAAACACCATTGATTAGTTACAATATTTGTTAAGATACGTTTTCTATAAGATTGTTTTTAACAATAAAATTGCAATAATAAATAGATAAACATTTAAAACGGGTACAATGAGATAAACAAATATGGTTAGTTTACAAAATCTACATATATTTCCGATTTGGTTGGTAATTAAATATTTAATGTTGTTATGAATTTATTTTTTTGGTTATACTTAGCAAATATCCGAATGCCATAAAATCAGGTCAATTAATGTGGGAAAAGTTAAGAAAACAGAAAATAAATTCTAAACAAAAATGTATATGCAGATTAGTTGCTAAATAAATGTTAAATAAATCGGATCCTCGTGTAAACAATTAATCCATGTTTTATTATGTGCATTAATTTCGGAAACAAATTAAATTCTGGAAACTAAGAAAATAGCTTTACAAATCTTTAAATCGATAATATATAGAATATGCTTTATAGATGCTTTGTAGAAAATAAGAAATTTTTTTTGATTGTGCAATATTTCCTATTGTTGTTATATTTATTAAATGTAGATTTAATATTGTTCAATTTTATTAGGAAACAGAAGAGATTTACCGAATATTTTTAGCATAGAAATAGGAAAAAATGATGAATTATATTCAATTTAATTTTTAGGAATGGTAAGCATTTAAGATAATTTCGAAAATATATGTATAATTAAATAATTAATTTCGTTATGGTACTCGAATATATTAGGAATATTCGTATTTTTAGTTTATTTAATTCAAAAATTATAATTTGCAGATTTAAAGGAAGATCTTCTCGAGATTTTAGGAATATAATCGAGATTTTAGTAACAAATGTGATCACATTAAATTTTCGAAAGATTTGAAAGATTTGTGTCCAAATTGTTAGAAACAAATTAGGATAAATAATTTTTGGTTAGTATCTTTTTTAATATTTTCATTTCTTTAGAATTAAACCCATTGACATTATATTCTTGAATTTATTTTTTAAAAATTACGTAATATTAAATAAAAAAATTAAATAACTAACTATTTTCATTTGATGGTGTAGACAAATTATTATTATTATTTATGTAATTTAATTACAAATAACAAATATTAATTTTTATAACAAAAAAAATTATTTTCGTAAGAACAATTTTTCCCAAATCAATATTTTACAAAATATTTATTTTAATCACATATTCTTTCTATATAGAAATAAATAGTTAAATAATTATGGTTAGAAGTAGTTAAGGTAAATAACAAATATGGTTAGTTTAGATATATTTTATATATTTCCAATTTAAGAATTAATGTGGTTTAAAGACAACATTCCTAAAATTTCTTATCCAAGATCCGGATAGAGTTAAACCCGGGTAAAACCCGGATCCAAATGAATTAATGCAAAAAAACCCTGTAAAAATGTATATGTAGATTAGTTTCTCGCTAATGCAGGTTTACACATAGTGTTTGCTAAACCGGAGAACTCGCTAATGCAGAAAGTTTACATATAGTGTTTGCTAAACCGGAGAAAGAAACCGAAATACATAAATGAAACTAAACCGGAGGTTAAAGACATTAAACCAAATTATTGATTCATGTTTTGTAGTAGATTGAAACTCGTATGACGAGCTTTTCCTGTCACAATTCGATCATCCTATCGATATACATCTCGTGTTCTAAAATATGGTCTGTACGGCCGTATATACGGCGTATATACGCTGTACGGTGGGAAGTCGTACTGTATTATAGGTATACAGTTGTTTAATACGGTGAAATCTATACGGTCCGTATATACGGCGATTATATGGCGTATATACGGTGAAATCCGCATATACGGCGCTTTTTTAAAAAAAATACTCAAAAACAAAAGCTATGTAATTTTATTAATGTTTGAAAAAATGATTTAACAAAATTATTAGTTTGGCTCTCAAAAATTAATCATAATAATTAACTATAAAATAACTTTATTGTCATTCTTTTCTATTATTTTTATGCTTATTCGTTATTTAAAATCTTAAAAATATTTTGTAAAGTTGAAAATTTGAATTTTTTTTGTATTCATGTATAGTATTGATCATGTTACTATATTTATGTTTTATTGTTATTATATATATTTATATTTATTTATTTATTTAACAAAAAATATCCATCGTATAATCTCCACATAAACAGCTGTATATACGTCTATACGATATACGGTGCTCCACTGTACGCCTAGCGTATAACGTATTTTAGAACATTTTAGAACTATATCGAAAGAATCCGGTACTAAGAAAATGGTTGTCCTTGTAACCATATTTCACTGAACCGGGTTCACCCGAAATTTATTTTGCCGGTTCAGTAACATCAATTTAGCGTTTGGTTAGTGAAAGAAGAAAAAAAACATAAAACAACACATACAGTATGTTCATTAACCAAAAGATACGTTTACCATCACAAGCCAATATCTCTTAATTCCCCCTCCTTGTCATCAAGTCCTATCACCGAACACGACGACGGTTTAAACTGATAAAAGTCTACAGCATAAGTGCACCACCTTGGAATCGAACCTATGACTTCCCACTTATTAGCTCTCAGGTCGTACCCACGAAGCACTTGCTTGTAATCGTCCTTCTTCAAAATTGTCTCCTTCAACACTAAACACTTTCCATCGTAAGCCTCTAGGCCCCAACTATATAACCTCTTCTCGTTCAGTATTCCGTTCCGGATTTGCTTCAAGAGGACCCATTTGGGATCACTAAGAATGTTCTCGAGTGCATAAACGTAAACAACTTCTTTCGTGGCCGATATCAAGGTTAAATTATTATCTGCGGCTGTGAACAACGTTTTAACACAAAGTTCTTTGGGGAATCAGTCGTGCTTTCTCTGTTTTAGGGTTGAAAGCTACGATAGATCCATCATTTCTTAGCCAGTGAAGAGATCCTTTCATATAGACAGGTTTTTTCATACGGTCATCAAGATTACTTGTGCAGCAAGTAAACGTCGTTTCTGATAATTTCCATGAATCTCCTCCGTTAATCTCAAACTCATACGTTGTTTCATTGCCATTTCTCACCTCGTTTATGACGACGATTTTGAGACTCGATCTAGTCGAAGAGTAGTGACCCCAGGGCAAAACTTTGACCTAGAGTGATTCAATAATCGAAACTTCTTTGTGAGAGGATTTACGACGCAGAGCATTTTATTAAGGAAGAGTAGAAGAAGGCCAGAGCAATAGCCTAAAATGTGACACTTTGTTAAGGTTTCTTGTGTTCTCGGTGACCTAGAATCACCGTAAAGGTGGTAGTAGAGCAGAGAGGAGCCATAGGTATGTATGTATATCAAACAGGATCTGACCCGAGAAAGGTATTCAGATTCAAAGTTAGGGTTTTTGGATATATAAGTTCGAAGAGATCTGTTTGTGCATTGCATCATGGCCAGAGATCTGTGGTCTATTCTGAAGAGAATCTCGTCGAGCAGATGATGAGGTAAGCTGTCCATGACAGGATAAATTATTAGGACTTTTGCTTACTTCTTTGATGTCATTTTCTGTGAGTTTTGTAATGATGCATTTATAGACGTAATTAAGGAAACAGATTGGACAAAAATGTCCCACTAATTATCATATATTATAATTTATTTTCTCTCTTTTTAGGTCTCCATATCAATCATTAAAAAGTATGAGCCACACAATTATTAATTTCAATTTAATTAACCTTTATTTGTTATTTCTTTTGATTATGTTTGCAATTCATAAAAAAAAAAACTAAAAAAAATCAATTTAAATATAAATATTAAATTTCAGTAGATTGTGAAATAAATTAATATTGAAGGGAAACAGATTCATGACTAAAATTAAAATAACACTAATAAATGTCAGAAAAGTAAGAATATGTGATTGGTTTTTAATAGGATTCCTAAATATAGTAGTTATAATGTAAATATAAGAAAATTTATTAATTTGAACCTCTAATAAAAATATTTTAAATTGTAAGAAAGTTAGAATTTTATTCAAGATAGAAAAAAAAGGAGAATATAAATATTTATTTGCATGTGATAACAAATGCAAGATCGTAATTTATATTTGATTGAGTTTGATTAGAAGTCGTAGAAGATTTCATTAAAAATATGTTTTTCATTTTCAAAAAAATCTGTTGTTTAGTGATTTCAAACAATAGTCGTTTTCTATACCTTTTGTTTTGTCTTTTAACTGATTATAGGTCTGAATTCTGAATAACGGTGAAAGAAGTGACTTTGGACCACACTGTGTTCAAAGGAAATAGGTTTCTTAAATTAGTAATGCATGCATTTGCATTCTTCTTTCTCCTTTAATAAATTAAGCAAATACATAACTTTTGATTTGTCGACAGCATCATGATCTTTTCAACAAAAGGTTTGCATAAAAATTTTTTTGATATCAAACTAAAAATTAAAGGGTCTGACCAAAAGAAAATGCCATTCTCTGAAGATCCTTGGGGAACACGTCACAAGCTTGGCTTTGGCTCCAAGGAAAGACAATGTTGGAGTTGAAATCCGTCTCTGATTTAACATAAACTGAGCTAGAGAATAACGAATCGTTTAGGCACTCGTCGGACCATTTAATTTCTTCCATACAAGGATTGTTGAGGTGGCTTGTGGTTCCACAGTTTGTTTCCCAATTAGGCTCTGTCACTTTTACATGATCTACATTGCTTGAAGTGTTGTCTGGAGGAGGAAGAAGAGTTATCGAGGGTTTCACGCATACCTGTGTCTCAAAACCCGGATTTGAGACAGAACCATCGATGTTGATGTTGAATTGCGTAGGGATCGTGGAAGAGAGCGAATTGTCGAGGGAAACAGAGTTGGGTTCTTGCTTCTGAAACGCAGAATACTTGGAAAAATCAGACGTTTGCTTGACAAAGAAGTCTTGATTAGTTTCTGAGGAGAAACTTGTGGAATTGTGGTTGTTGCTTTTGTTTGTCTCTTTATTAACCTCGGAGAGAGGTCTATGTGTAATAGGGTCAATTCCTTTCTTCATCAGCTTCTTCTTAATGCAAGAATTCCAAAGGTTCTTGATCTCGTTATCGGTTCTCCCGGGAAGTCTCGCTGCAATTTGTGACCATCTGATACAAAACAGGGGATTTCAGAAAATACTCTGTTTCAGAAACAGAGTATCATTGTGTATGTTACCTGTTTCCAAGAACAGCGTGAAGCTCGACAATGAGATTCTGTTCCTCTGAAGAGAAAGCTCCTCTTTTTAAATCAGGTCTTAAGTAATTGATCCACCTGAGTCTACAGCTCTTTCCACATCTCTCGAGACCTATAGATTCATACAAATCTAGTTCTTTAGATGAATTTGAAGACGGAAAACAGAATTTTACGCCTTTTTGGGAGAAGAAAGAGTTTTACCGGCGAGTTTTGGGACAGAACTCCAGCAACCATGGCCATTTTTAGTGATGTAATTGAGAAGCTTCTCGTCTTCTTCAGGAGACCAAAGACCTTTTCTCAGCTTTTGTTTGTAACAACAAGAATGTCTCTTCATGTTGAAATGCTGTGGAAAGAAACAATGAAGAAAAACTCTGGGTTTTTGGTAATGTATTGATGAAAGAGAAGATTAATAGATTGAGAAAAAGGTTGAGAAAATGAAGTAAGAGATGTGAATAGAGCCGTGTTAAAAAAATCGCTAGGCGCTAGTCGGGCGGTGAGGGTGCGCCTAGCGCCTAGCAAGAAAATCGGAGATTACACGGGGATTAATCAGGGATTAGTTTTAGGGCTATTTAATGTTTTAAAAATATATTAATCCATTATAAATAAGAAATTTATATAATCTTGTTTTTAAAATTGCATTAAACACATGAAAACAAGAATTTAAGGTCAAATTTATGATTTTTATAAAAAATTATGAATATAAGTGAGACGTTTTGAATTTTAGATCCAAAAAAAGAAAAAAAAATGTAAAAAAAAAAAAAAAAAATTGGGCTAGGCGCCGTCTAGGCGGGCTAGGCGGACGCCTAGGCGGTCTAGGCGGACAAAAATCGGATCACCGATTTTTTTTACCGATTTGGACAAAATCGCCGCGGTCCCCACCCGATCAGCGCCTAGGCGGCCGCCTAGGCGGCTAGGCGGCCGATTTTTAGAACAAGGGAATAGAGTAATACATACATAGAGGCTATAGAACCGACGAAAAAGAAAAAAGGAAACAAAGTCATTTTCATAAGAAGACTTTTGTTGAATTTTATGTTTTCTTTTTTTGTATTTCACTTTCAGAGAAAAGAGACAATATAATGTGCTTAGCTGGGACCAAAGACTACTCATGGTTAAGTCATGAGACTCGTGTCTTTTATTTTGTGTGTGGAAACTATACAAACTAATCTTGTTTTCATTATACTTTATTCAACTAGGTTTCAATTTAACTATAGGTGCTATTAGAAAGTAATTAGTTTGAGAAAATGAGATATACATTGTATATTGGACTTCTCGTTTTGACAACCGGTCATGTCACCCACTTAATTGTAGTGGAGTTGTTCATTTTCTTTTGTCGACTATGCAAAATTTTCTCTTTTCGATTTGGTTTAGGATTATTCGTTTCGCCCTAAGAAATCGATTAAAGAGTTGATTTTCGACAAATTTTATCGATACCTATGGCGAGTTTGAGGTTTATTAGTTTCGACGAGATTTATGATGATGGTTAGGGTTTAAAATGTTTGAACTTTGAATTTAGGTTTATTAGTTTTGACGAGATTTATGATGACATAAAGAATGATCTATTCCATAAATTATAATTCTAATAGTTTTTATTTAGAAAATTTCTCTAAATTTGATTTTTATTTTTGACCCGCCATGTTAATTAGAGTGAACAATATATAGTATTTGAACATCTTCAGATGGTGGTTGAAATACAATTGTTCCAAACTTTATTTCTCTTGGTTATAAGTTGTTTATGGATTTTTTTTGCTCTTCATTATCCTAGTAAAAAATTTCCATCTTCTTTTGTGTATTATATATTCCTCACTCTCAAATTAATAAATAAATTATTTTTTATTTTAAATAATTGAGCATTTGACGAGGGAATCTCTTGTACAATGCCTTGTTCATGCAGGAACCATCAAGAAGCATGAAGTAGCTAGACAGTTTATGTTGATTAATCGGTTAACAAAAAAAATTATGTTAACTAAAATAAATATCAACAAGACATGCCCCATAATCAAACACAATAAATAATAGGGCTACTTGATTCTATTGTATGATATCATCATGTAACGAAGCTACCGATAAGGTACTTCGGATTAAATAATTCATCAAATGATTGACTTATATTGGAAAATCATATAATATATGGAAAAGACTTTTGCAATTTAACTAGTTGTGTATATAGAGAAAACACTACTTAATTGATATTGTAAACTGTTTTAATAATAAGATTAAAGACATCAAAATATTAGTGGATGTTATACTTTGCAAGTTTTTTTTTTCTTTTTTTTTTATCCGCAAAGTTTGGGGCCAAAAGTCCGTAGATTTCCATGGACCAAAGTGATTAAATTAGCCTCTTCCCAATGAAACTTAAACTAGAGGGCTCTAGGATGGACCCTAGTTTTCAGCTAGTAGACCAAGCAACACATAGTATTTATAAACACTCTAAATGCCAATATGCATATTTTTATGTTGAGTGTATATCAAAATCTTTCTAGTTGTTGAATTGTGTACTCGACTAGTCTTTATCTCTACCTTTGCAGCTCCCATTCCTGCCTTAAAATGTTCTCATATCTCAACATTGATGTATTTATTGATTTATGTGGGTGTTTCAATAATATGTCTAAATTCAAAATATCATCAGCGTAAAAAAAAAATAACACTATCATCGGCGAGGGTCAGATTGCTATAGCGACATTCCCCCGTGAAACAATTGTACGGGGATTTGCATTGTTCAAAAGAAAATTATAATAATAGTATAATGAATAGAAAGAATTAACGTGAGAAAATTGGGAAATAGTTGTTTACATAGAATTAACAATCATATGGAATATGCACTATAACTATTTACGATTTATGACTAGGAGGTTCTGCGCCCGTAGGCCCGTACATCCCCCCAGGGCGAGACCCAAATCATGTAATATAACTCTCTTTTGGAGAGCAGACCCCTCCCAACGTGTTACGAACCCGTGACCTCCAAGATCCCTACATTATCGGTAACCAAGGGGTTTAACCACTAGGCCAACTCATCGTTGGTTATTTATGATTTTTTTGTCAAATATAAAGGTAGAATTTGGTTATCAAGAAAGCCCTACATATACTATATCAAAAAGTCATATTTCTGAAGACGGAATATTTCCCATGCTTAACATGCATTGCATTAGAATGGTCAAATAGAGATGCTATGAATATATGAGCTGTCCTCTCAAATCAATTGTTCAATAACTCGTTATATTATATGTAATTTATAAGCTAATCGTCACTGTCATTTTCGTTTGTCTTTGTCATAAGATCGATAGAGCCAATAAAATCTGAAGACGATTAAATTAATATATAAAGCAACTAAAGATAATATTTATATAGATTACATGAAGGATTGTTGTCATTTTTTTTTTTTGGTAAAAGAAGGATTGTTGTCATTATCACTACCACAAAGCTTTAACATCATTCACCGACAAATGGAAAACATTAGGCTGTTCACTTAATTAACACGCATCTCATATATTATTTCCTCCTAGTATATATTAATCATTCCATTCAATTTTATAGATAAGTTTTAATTTCTTTCAAATATCTATGGCAAAGTAAATTTAAAGTATTTGATGATTTACGACCATTATATCACACATTAATAATTTGTTTGTTTTTATTTTTATTTTATTTTTGTGAACTGTGAAATTAGATTAAAATTTAATTTTGTGATAGATTATCTGATCCGAAAGCGCTTGGTTTACAAAAAGATTCATCTATAAATCTAGTTTTGACTAAACATGATAAACAATATATTATAAAATTCCAAAATGAAATGAAAGAAAGGGAAAATAAAGTAAGAAGCGTAAAGTTAAAATAACTTTTCCAAAAGGTTGGAGAAGACAAACAACTTATCATGAATTTGCCATATCTTAATTATATTCGATATATATAGTTCAAATTATTTTGAAGGTATTAAACTTAAACTTTTGTTTATCGGTTTATAAATCAATAAATTTGATTCGAAGCTATATTTTAAAATGGTGATGTTATTGGTTGAATGAAATAAATTTCAACAATTATAGTTTTAACATGTTTGTCTTTGTTTGCTATACCGCGTTTAGTAAGTTACTACACGTCTACACCCAACTAAACATGTAGAGTCGAGTTAAATATGTGTATTATGTTTTTCTTTTCATGTGTATATCGTTTTTAAAAAGTGATAGCAAGATTGCAATATGCATTAAATTACTTGTCATAAGCTAAACTAACACTACAAAATTGCCGCGTTAAATGGAATGGTTTTATAAACAAATATAGATCAGTTAAGTAGGCTAAAAATCAATGTATACTCTAATTAGTTTTTATTTCGACGTTTAATACCTTAATTATTTTAGATGGAAAAAAATACTTCGTTTAATTATATTTGGTCTAAAAATAATTCATCTTTAAATTGTTAGTAAATTCAAACCCACGACTTAACGGTCATTAAAGAGAGCTATTAAAGCTGTAAACGGGGTTAACTTTTAACAGAAAATTATCCGAAAAATACCCAATCTAATTTGTTATGGAAATTTAATAACCTAACTTCGTTGGTTGGAAGAATAATACTATAACTAAATATATATGATCTAAAAATACTCCATCTTTGAATTGTTGATGAATTCAAATCCGCGACTTAACAGTTGTTAACAGATGTTACAAAATCATTAGACGACGTCAATGATAACCTCATATAAAATCTTTATTCAAAATATTACAAATATATTGGTGTGGTCTCTGGTTGTAACAAGCGGATTATTTAACTTTAAAGGCGTTGATACGATCGAAACTCCATCTTTCTATAACCATTTCTTTCATCTCTCCACTTTTACCCAAATCTTTCTTCACTTCTGCAACTATTCTACTCCATGACCACGAAAACGACGAATCATCTGCCATCGAGTCATCTATGTCCTTATCTCTTATGTATTAACTGCAGAAAAGTTACATTGCATCATCAAAGATCACTATCGCAAAAACTCTTCTAACTCCAACGACGCCATCTTAAAGGCCTAAACACTACTTGAAAAATTTAGTTTGAGTAAAAACAAGTCACTACACTTGAGTTAAATCTTTCTATATAAAATTTAAAATAGTAAAATCAAACATATATAATTCACCTAAGCTGAATATTATTTTGTGTGTCAGTAACAAACATTCTATCTACCTGGTTTGAACTTAATTAATGACACAAGATCACATTAATACAAGCTAATGGCCTATATATCCGTTGCATGTATAAGCTCTTGTTTGGGAAATGAACGAACATAAGAGTGATGTTACTTTCATCCTAAACTGCTCAGAGTTGGTGAAGATGATGTTTTTTCCAATAGGGTGGCCGACTTTTATGACATATCTCGAGGAAATTAAACGTATTAAAAGAAATTTTAATTTTAGCCTTTTCTTTTTCTCTTATTTCTATATCAAGACAAGTTAATACTAAAGCAGATAAATTTGCACGCATCGTTTGTATACAACCGTAATATATATGTAATGTATATAAACAATGTTCATTCGGATCGGTTCATTTTATCTTATCTTTTTAATATAAAGTTGTTGACAAAAAAATCAAATTTAACTTGAAATTTAATTTAATTTTAAACAAACATCATGATCACAGATCAATAACAGTTTAAGTTATTCAATTTTTTATTTCTGTTCATACAATATTATTATGTTTTTAACCGACAAGCAACGGATGGTTGCGTCAAAACGCTAAGGGTTGATGTTGGTGTTGAAGTGGAGCTCCTTCATTTTAGGAACAAACAGAGGACGATACACAATCAGACTCTGTTTCTTCCCTTATTTAACGTAACCACTAATTCTATTTTCTTGTTTATTTACAAGAACAACGTAAGAAGAAATATAAAAAAGTTCAAAACTAAAAAACAGAAAAAAAAAAATAATAATAATTACAGAAGAAGAATGCGTACCTTCATTGAAATCCTTTTAGCAGTCTTCATACCTCCTCTTGGTGTATTCCTCAGATTTGGCTGTGGGGTAATTTTTTTTCATTCATAAATCATAAATATATGACTAAAATATTTGACATTAATGGTTAAAGAAAGATCAAATCTCTTACTTTTGTGTGTTTTTATTTTTGAATGTGTTTGCAGTTGGAATTTTGGCTCTGTTTGCTTCTAACGTTCTTGGGTTTTGTCCCTGGACTGATATATGCCATCTATGCTCTCACCAAGTAGGAACAACCAAACAAAAACACTGGAATCCTTTTTATTTTTATAATTTGTTGTTTTTCCAACAATGTTTCTTTCAGAATTTTTATGTTGTGTTTATGGATTCAGTTTTGTAATCTTTGATTTTTTTTGTAATCTAGCAAACTTTTTGCTATGTTAGATATGTAAATTTCAGCAGTTTCCAAAATGTTATGGTTCTAGTTTGAGCAATGAGGTTTGAAACATTTTATGGGTCATAAACTGATTTGGAAGATTGATGATATTATTAAAGAGTGATGAAATTATGATAACATTAGGAACTATATCTTGAAAGTTCTGATAGAGACATTACATGGAGTCATCGATACACACAATGTACCTATGCGGGTAATGATACATAGATAAACCGGTGTATATAAATTTATGTAGCTTCTGCGATTCCGATTTGAAGATTGCCTGAATCGAATACCGTATGGTAGGCTCCCATAAAGACATCCCCAATAATCCTGCATAGTCATATATATAGTATTGACCTCAAAATGCTAAACAAAAAAGATGGATGTAAAATCTGTAGAGATCACCCGGGCTTACCAAAGAGGACCAGTTGGTGGAGGCAAATCGAAAGCGGAAAACCCACTTATGCACATTTCAGCATATCCTCCTCCAGTTTTGAGAATGTACTAAACAATATAACAACAGTAAAAAGACTAATATATGAACATTTCTCGGAATATTTTCATGTAAAATATAATGAAAAGTTTTATCTTATTTTTTAACCTGTTGAGGGCTGAGAGAGAAGGGGTTGTCTCCAATTGTGAATGTAACATTTGGCATGTTTTTGATGTTATTGCAGTTGATAATTGACTCGCCCGCAGGACTTGGAAGTCTCTCACAAAGCTGGTTCACGTATTCAAACACTTTCTCTTTGGTTTCATTCACTTTCAGCTTTGTTTGAACCCACACAACAGCCATCTCACAAACTTCACATAAAACTGATGATCTTTCTTTGTCCCCCACGGTTTTTATTATGGTCCTGCATACAACAAGATCAATTTAATACCGATGTGTAGTTTTTTTATTTGAAGATTGCTCACATACTCTTGTCCGAAAACGCATAGACCGAGCTCTTTACACACTTGACGAGGCAGCACCTGCAAGTAAACATCAGTTTTTTCTTTTCTTCTGATTTATGAAAATGCTAAGTGTGCAAAACTGACAAGAACATTTTACCTTTGATACTAACAGATCCCATATCATTTCTCCGTATTGGGAAACAACATCCTTGCACTCCGCACTAACAATGCCCTCAGCGCCGATTGCATGGTTAATTTGCGCGATCACAGTCTAAAAATAAAGATTAATTTCATGGAGAAAAAAAATGATTGCATCAGTTTAGTGACACCAAAAGATTAAATGCAATGTTTTTTCTTACAGTTGGTCCAGCAAGTAGTGAAGTTCCTGAGTCCATGATTGCATCACAACCTTGCTCACAAAAACCTACACATGAATGTTTTCAGTTTCATGACCAACACATGACTAAAACATTCAACATATATAATTTAGCTGATGAGCTAGTTTTACCAGTTGAGTTGTTACCGACAAAGATATCTCCCATGTTAAACTGATAAAGAGGGAAAATCTTATGTTAGGATCCGCCATCAAATGTGACACGAGACCAACACTAATATATAAGAGACATGGGCCTATCGAGTAATTACCAATTCGTTTAAAGTTGGAAACCTATAGTTCGTTACGCCTCATGTCAAAATAATTAGAGAAGAGATATGGACCAAGTAATGTCTTCTCACCTGCCAATAACCTTTTCTAGTGACAGGAACATAAGTGTGTTTGCCTTTGAAGTGTGCGGGATCAACACCGCCAAATACAATCTCACCTCCAACTTCAGCTTCTGTATCACGGTTTAGCCAGAATGAGAAAACCTTTTCCCTCACTAGTCCTTGATCAACCATGTTGTACCATACTGGCACCGCATTTCCGACTGAAATCTCTTGAAATCCTAACCCGAGTAGTCCATCGAACTTTGCTAGGAGGAAAGTGAGACTTCCTTCGCGTGTAGCTTCAATAAACTCCTGATTTGTAAAGAAGACTTTAATGTAATGTAAATGGAAACCAAATGGGTTTAAAAGGGGGAGAGACAGATCCAGACCTGATTCTTAACTACAAGATCACCAACTTTCACATTGTCCTCACTAAAGAAGCCAGAGATCGACCCCGAACCATAAGTTATCGTACACGTCTTTCCTGTCACTCAAAATGTGTTTTAATAGATACCAAGATTGGCTATATGGTTCTAATAGACTATTAACAACAATCAATTAAGACTATCCACAACTTCATTACCGTTCTTGATGTATGTTTTGGATTTGGTAGACTTGTACTTGGGATGGAGATAACAAGCCAGCTGAAGAACACAAACATATACAAGGCAGTCAAGACGAGACAACATACGCTAAACGAGAGACAATTCTAAACATTATGTTCAAGAACTCGCCGATAAGTAGCATTTTGAAGATGGAACCCAGAGGTTAGAACTTCCAGTATCGAATATAACTTCGAATTCTTGGGAAGGTGTTCCGATTCCAATAACTCCGTAGTATTGAGCATCCAAGTAATTCTTAAGAATCACCTGATCTTGGTTACTAGAATCACCTCCTAGAGTAGCAAAAGACGGGTAATTCGTGAGATGTTGTGAATGTTTCAGCTTCCTAATCACTCTGCTAGCTCGAATATCATCGAGCTCGAGCCGTCTCTTCTTGAGACCAACACGAAACAGATCACTGGAGGTTGTAGGATGAAGCAAGATTGCTAAGAAGCAGAAAGAAATGACTTGATGGATAAGTTTGTTTCGTGTTTCACAGGAAACCATCTTTGTCCTGCCATCAGAATTCCCCAGTAGAGGCAAATATCAAATACTTTTGAAGAAAAAATTATTTAAAGAGAAAATGATCAAACTTTTTTATTTGTGTCATTTTTATCAACTCGTTTCTCTGTTTTTTATTTCTGGGCTTCGCTTGTTAACTTAAACAAGAATTCATCTGTTCCTGAACTGAAGCAACTTAAGAGTAAATTCTTTTTGAGGATAAATCATAAAACCACTTGATCACTGACTAGAACCTGAATTTTTTCCAGTAAGAAGTATTATACATGAAAAAGAAAAGATTTGAATCAAATCAAGCCATGTGTGTTAACACAGAGAGGCCAAAACTGAAAGAGATATTGGATTGAAACATTAAAGAGTCCATGAAAAACATACCTAAGTAGTCTGGAGACAAAAATTGGACAGGCCAGAACTTTCTATGAGGAGGAGCAAGGAGCAAATCTTTGGTTATTGTTTTTTTTTTTGTTTTAATTTTCTCATACATCCTCTCTCTTTTATTATCGTGTAGATTATCTTTCTTCGTCCAGTTAAAAATGAAAATGACCCATTGGTTTTTTTCCACTGACTTATGGTGATGACTGATGACAAATAAAAACAAATTAACAGGAAATATTTTTTTATTTATTTCATTTTATAATAAACTTTTATGCAAATTATAAATTTATAATTGATTGAAGACTTTAGTTACCCAAATTATCATCAATACAATAATAACTCTTGAATCTCTCAACCTCAGCTTTTTTAAGCATTGTGGTGTTGACACCTCAGTTAAAATGAATGACCAATGAAAAAATTCTAAATAATACAACTCATTTTTCATATCCAATAAGAACCTTTCATTTTTCCACATTACTCTCTTATATAGAAATATCAAAATGGGCCTAAACTCATGGACTTAACCCAGTCCGGTCCGGTTATGAACACAAAATATTAAATCCGTTAAAAAAGGATCTTGCGGGCAATCCTACACGGATTACGGATTTTAGAAAGTTATGCCCGAAGATTGACAGATTGGCCCGCGCTACATATATATATAAAAAAATTAATATATCATATATAGAATTAAATATTTTATATATTTTTGTAAATATAATATGTCAAGAATATGTGATAATATAAAATTTAAATTATAAAATTATTATATTTACAAAAAAGATAGTATTAAAAGTTTTTTAATGGTGTTTACACATTAGCTTTTCAAGCTATTCTCAAACTAACACATCATTAAAATTGATACATAATCAAAATATAAGTACTAAACAAAACTGAACATGGTAATTAATTCAGCATCTCTAACTAATACGATTTTTGAAAATTCTAATTATTAATTCTTTAAAGTTGCAAAAGATATAAAATAATTAGTAAAATTTAATATTTATAAAATTTACTATATTTAGAGTGCACATGGTAATGATACTTTTTGTAATAATTGGTTCCGAATAGTATAAAATTAAACAATCAAGTTCTAAAATTTTATTTAATTATATCAAATCACTAAATAAAAAATTCAAAAAATACCTTTGCTACGAAAATAAATTATTAACTGAAAAATATACTAGAATTTTACTTTTGAAACATCATCTTTTCATTAGATATTAACGTTGGCAATAGAGACTATAATTATAATTACAAAGTCTAATTACATAAATAAAAAACTAATCCCTAGAAGTAAAATTTTTTACAATTTAAGTAAAGATAAAACATTAAATTATAAACACTAGGTTTCTCTCCAGTGCTGACACCTCAGCTTTTTGGAGTATTCTGGACATGACACATCATTAAAATCATCATCCAATAAAAATATTTGGAGTAATACACATCAGATTTTTTGGCCAATAATCATCCCTTCTGCTTTTATTAATATTGTCTCATTTGTTCTTGGGCTCTAACATATGGGCTTAATGTTTTAGAATAGGATTGTTGGACTTCAATTTAGGGCTTGATTGGTTCTCCCGCCTAGCGGTTGTTAGCGGTTGATTGCGGTTGTTAGCGGTTGGTACCAATCATAGAAATTGTTCCATACCACTTCGAACAGTTCGAAATCGCTGGATTTTAAAAGCTCCTTTCCGCAAGCGTTTGCGGTTGCGGACGGTTGCGGTTGGTTTAAAAAAAGAAAGAAACTGAAAAAGAAAAATGAACAAATTTAAATATATATTATCAAGTCTTATGTATATTCACGTTAATTCTAAAAAAAAAAATTATCTAACTTTAATTTTCCAATATTAATAATTATTTTTGTTTTCAATATAAAATTTATTTGAATAATTATTTATGGTTTTTAATCATTAATCATGTTTAAATTTTTATATTTTTTCATAATTATAGTTTTTGGTGTTTTTATACTTTTTATAATCATATACTAAATTTATTTTGGTAAATTTTGGTTTAACCGCTACTGTACCCGCTGATCAACCAGTCGTAAATCTCCCGCAAACGTATTCGTTTTTAACCGCTAAACCAGTCGGTCAAAATGCTAAATAATGCTTGAAACCGCAACCGTCCGTTTCCGCAAACTCCCACAACCGCAACCGCTACGTTTAAACCAGTCAAGCCCTTACTTGTAATGTTTACCCTTTGGATAAAATTGGATACAAATCGAATTAGTTAAGAACTATTGCAATAAAATATTATAAGATTTATTAAGCGTTATCATAGATCTTAATGAATAACTAAAAATCATTTGAGTAACGTTCTATACTCCTATAACAAACAAACAAACAAATCTCTTAGCCTTTTACGCCTCTTCAACATATAAATCAAGTATGCATATGGAACACTAAAATCAAAGATGATCATTCCATATAACATATTTTCAAGTATCTAAGTCATGAGTTCTATACAGCTATGGCATGTCCATATATATATATAAGTCCGATCGAATCAAATATCATAACTTTTGTCAAAAAATAAAAGCTCAACGATTTCATCGACGATATATTCAAATCGGAGAAAACAAAAACGGAAACTTGAAAAAAAAATAAGAAGAAAGAAAGATATTTACTTGTGGGCACTGAATTCAGATTCCAATTACATCAATCGCTGAGAAAAAGACGTAGGAGATTTAGAGTTCGATTGCGGAACACCGCCATAGCTCCCCCGCACTCCGGTGATAGAAACTCCTTTAGACATACAGTGAAACAATCGTCTCTTATTGGCTGCCATTAGTGAAAGTCTTTCAGATATAAAAGCAAAGGTCTTCTTTTTTTTTCCTCTCCGTTTAACTGATTATCTAATCTATCTCTCTCCTTTGTTCATCTGTTTTTCCAGAAAAAAATGATCGTTTTCGGACTTTTTCAGGATACAAATTTTATCTGAATACTAAAATTGATTTACGGTTTGGTCTCAGTTTAACATTCAAATTTGATTTGGTTCTTTTTTTGCCTTCAAATTATTTAATTATTAAATATTTAATTAAAATCATTTCTCCAATTTAAATTTCTTCAATATTAAAAAAAATCATTTAAAAATATCCCGCGGCGGAGCGCGGGTTTCAACCTAGTATATTTTAAAACCGCAAGAGTAATAATTATCAGTTTGGAACTGTTAATACTCTTTCTGTTTCAAAATATAGAATGTTTAGGTTAAAAGCATAAAGTTTAAAAGACTAACTAATCTTTTTTTTTGTTTTTATACTTTTTATATTAAAATCATAATTCAATACTTAATTAAATAGAGTTTAGTCAATAAAATTTTTTACTGCAGAATATAAATAATCACAAAATTTTATAAATTTAATTTTTGCATTGAAACTTGAAATTTATGTCCAAAACATTTTGGGTTTGATTGGTGAACATAATAAAAGTATTACAAGTTGTACAACTTTTATTTTTACCAATCACAAAAACTTTATCAAAAGCGTTACTAAAAATTTTACTCTTAGCTTTTTTGTACAGTTTTCTCGTACAGCTCTTTCATACAGCTTTGCATTATTCCGGTAAAGCTAACAGCTCCAGCTAACAGCTAAAAAACTTGTACAGCTTTTGGTTACCAATCGGACCCTTTATATTGTAAAATAAAATAAAATGGCTAAAATATTTTATAATATGAAACAGAGGGAGTACTAATATTTGTCTATAAAAATTGGAAATTTTTTTAAAATTTCCAATATTGTCCGAATCATTCATTCCAAACACTACTTTATCCGCAAGGTGTACAGTTTTTTTTTTTTCTTCAAAATATTACACTAACTTCCAACCAAAAAAAAGTTGCACTAACTTTAATTATCTCATAATTAACAACAAAAACTTTTAACTAATTCAGATACCTACTCCTGTCGTTATCCAACCTCGTGAAAAACAAATGGTATCTTCCGAGCCACGTGTATCACGTGGGTCCAATAATTATAGAGTCCGGCCCATTAGAGAATTTACGCTTATTGGGCTTCAAAATCGGCTTATTGGGCTCACTGGTCAAGTCTCTCTGATTTTCTCTTCATCTTCTCTAGTCAGGCTCTAAAAGGCGACACAGTGAAAGAAACAACGCATCACCAGAACGACAGAGATTAGATTGCTTCTGGTATTTATGTACGAAAATTCTTCCAATTCTGGTTTCTTTTTGACTTTCTTGGATCTATATCTTGTTTTGGAAGTTGCCCTTAAACTGTTCGATGAAATGCCTCAATGAACATCTTTATCACAAAACCCAATTTTTCTTTTTTCGTATACTTAAATTTCATTTTCTGTAGTGAATACAGAGGGAAATGGCGTTAAGGCAGAAGTTAGGATGGTCAGAGGGAGATTTGATGAGATCTGATGCTAAGCCATGTTCAAGGCTGATGAGACAAACAGCTGCCATTTTCACTGTTGGTGGAGCTCTTGGCTTCTGGGTTCTCTGCAGACTTCACTATGGTACAAAAAGTTTTCTCCTTTCTTATCAGTGACTTGCGTTTCCATCGATTGATTAAAAAAGCATCTGCAAAGCTTGGTTAAACAGTTTAGGCAATCAACAGGTTCTTCTCTATATAGCCATTGAATCCATTGTTCTGCATAATTGATTGTTAGAAGCCTTTTGAAAACATACCAATGCATATTACCATTCTGTTTTCTGTCCTGTAGTATCTGTTTCTTATGAAAAAAATGAATCCAAAAGGAGCTTTGAGTGAATAATTAGATTGGTTTTGTGAAAGATTGGATCTTTACAAGTTTCGGGAAGTAATACTTTTTTGCTTTGATTCCTATTGCCATGACAAATGATTCTTGGGGTTGGTTAATTTTCGCGGATTTAAGATTCAAAGGAACATAGAATAGTTGAGTCAATTCTAAGATAGAGAGGTTAATAAAAGCAAATGTTGTCGCGTTCAATTCATCGATGTTGTCGCTGGGAAATGTTTAGGTCCGAGGATCACAGTGCCAAGGAGTCTACGGTGGGCTGGGTGTGGTGCTGTATCCGTAAGCACATCAACTGCAATGCTTGTCCGACTCTTCAGCCCTGAATGTGAACCACAAAACATTGCTGCGTATGATCACATCAAAACACCTCAAGCTTCACTTCCTTAAAACCATCAGTTTCTGGCTTTATCTATTATGTGTATGGACCTCGTATTTTGTACATTCCGTTGCAATACATGAATTTAGGTAACCACTAATAATACTACCAAATTCTGCCTTTTTTTTTGTTTCCATTAGAAAGTATAGTGTGTATTTTCTCATATTGCCTTTAGGTTGCTTGTGTTATGAGTATCCAATGTTCCTCTGTCATTTTCGTGTGTTTGATGATGACTGTAGCATAATTGGTTGCAATTCCAACTGTTTTTTTTTTTTTCCGTAAGACACACTCTTTTGGCTTTTGAGTGTTTAGTTTTCTAAAGCTTTTGTTGTCAAAGGGAAGACCTTTGGATTTGTAGGGTTTGGTTTAATTTTCCCCTCAAACTAGTCATAGGTGGAATATCCACACCGAGCTTAAAGCGAAGCTAGCAAAAAGAATATTGAGGGTGTGACTTCATGGAGATGCCTGCTAGTTCAAGATGAGTAGGAATATGTTTGATCACCAACAAACCTAGTGCTACTATTTCTCGAGCATAATTATAATCAGACACCAATGTGTTTTGATTGTGAGTGAAGAGCTAGGATTTCAGTGATATAGACATCATATTATCATGGACATAAAAATATCAAGATAGCAAAGATAGGTTTATAGTTCTAATCTTTTTCAACCAATTTACCAAATGAAAAAGATTAGAACGATAAACCTATCTTGGCTATCTTGATATTTTTAGAATTATAATACATTTGTTTGACTTCGGAAACATAACTTTCCTAGAAAACTCCTTTGTTTTTTTTTGAAAATAATATTAAATTATATTCAAAAAAAAAAGTAACGTTTGCACAACTAGTGCAACGAGAGTTTGAAAGATTTTAATCTGAAAACAGAATTTGACTCTTAATTTCGAGTATCAAACTAAGCTTGTAATCTTTTGTCGTAGCGTCTATCTTCAAGGAGTCAGATTGTTGAAAATCGGTTTCTCATTTGTTTGTCGATCCACTCTATGAGTCGGCTTGCTGAATTTGGTGTTTCGCCATGTCGCCTCCCGTTCCTCTCTCCCCATATAACATAAACCACTCTTTGAAAAACATACCAAGCTGTGAAGCTTTCTAGCCGGTCATGCCATTTGCCGCAAATTAAAGTGAATAATGTTTGCCATTCCGTCGAGTAGTTTGCTTTGAAAATGTTTTTTGCCACAGGGCCCAAACTTCAACTTCATAGCAAAAAGCGCAGGAGAAGAATAGATGGCTCCGAGATTCAATCGCGTTGTTACAGAGAACATATGTCCCGAGTGCTCCATTGTTCCAATGTATCATACGATCATCCGTTGAGAGCCTATTGTGTACCGCTAACCAAACGCAGAAAGAAAACATAGGAGTTGCGTGAGTAAACCAAATCTTGTTGTGCCAAGTGACCGTAATTGCTGTAGTACGAGTATGATTCCAAGTATCCCTTGTGGAGAAGCTTTGCTTGTAGACGTCGTGTTTCCCCCTCCACAATACAACATCTGTAACGGGTTTGTCGTTTTGATTTGAGAGCCTCCTCCATCAAATTCAAAATCACTGTTCTATGCCTTCTCCGACGCCTACCATCCCATGCATGTGCCACTGACTTATGCCTACTTATTCCCATGTCAACGATTTCTGTATTTCCAACAACGTTCATCATTCTGCTCATGCTAGACCAGTTGTCAAACCAAAAAGATGTGGTTCTCCCGTTCTTTATCTCCACCTTACAGAACGATTTAGCTAGTGTCCTGAATTTGATTAGCTTTCTCCACATCCAGGATCCAAGGCTTGTAGTTTCTTTAGTCGACAAGAAGTTGTCACGTTTGAGCAAGTACGTCTTAACCCACTTAACCCACAGTGAGGCTTCATGTGAATGTAATTTTGAATGAACAGAAGAGCTCCTTTGTTGATATATTTAGAATCTAATTGCATATATGAATGATATTTTGAAAGTGGGCTATGATTTTTTATATTAAATTGAAAAAAAAAAGAAGTGGCGAACCTTTGACAATTTACAGGCACAACCCACAAGCCTTTAAATATAATTATGCATATACATTTAATCTACTTTTCAAAAAATCTATAATACTTAGTTTACTCGCTCCCTCTTTTCCTAACCAATCAAAATTTGCCACTTAAACAAAAAAGGAATAAACTATATATTGGTTTGAGTTTATAAGAGAGGGTTGAATTTAGATTTTACAATTAAACACGTTAAACATCGGTTTGAGTTTGTAAAGAAGAGTTTGGATTTAGATTTTACAATTAAACGAGGTTACATGTCGGTTTGACTTTATAAGAGAAATTAGGGTTTATATTTTAAAATTAAACGAGGTTATATATTTTGGCTTGAGTTTATAGAAGAGGATTAGGGTTCACATTTTACAGTTAAACGAGGTTATATGTCGGTATTGGATTTATAAAAAAAGTGTTTAGGGTTTAGATTTTGCAATTAAAAATGATTGTTTCGATTTTATAAAAGAGTGATTAGGGATTTGATTTTACAACTAAATATTTTAGTTTTATTTCTTTTATTAGATGGCAAATTCTTATTGTTTAGAAAAATAGGAGCTGAATAAAATAGCTCACCCCTACGAGTGAACCAACAATGGTTCGCTTCAAATTCAATGCAACTTAGGTGGAGAGATAAACTCAAATTGATTTAGATAATATTTAGTTCAACCTAATTAAATGAGAAGAAAGTAAATCAAATCACATATTTGAAAATTAAACTTCAGTATTAAGTATTAAAAATAAAATATCTATCTAAATCATAGCAGCATAATCTTGGTTTTTATTTATGATGTGATAATAAAAAAACAATTCTACGTCGAATCCTTAGCCGTCGCCACATCTTCCTCCGCCACCACTACAACTACCACCATTGCTGTTGCCACCACCGGCTCCACGGCTCCACCACCTTCATCACCGCCACCAGTGACTGTCTTCGTTGCCGTATGGAGAGAACACATCTCACAACAATTCATCACTACCCACACTATCAAAGCGAAAACAAGACTGGCTATAATGATAAAAAGTTCAGTGTCCATGATCTCTCTGCAATAAGAAACCAGAATACGTTTGAGTAAAATAATAATAATTACGTTTTGTTTCCTAACCAATGTAACTGTATTTATAGTCATTAATTTATCTAATTTTTACTTGGACAAGGATAAAGAGTTTTCTTATTCCCATAAGAAACGTAGTTAAGTTTATCCAAAACAGTGTAAATAACAAACAAAATACTTTGATATTAATCCCTATTAAGAAGTAATAATATGTTATTTTGTCTATTTAAGCAACTTCATGAAGGAAACAGTATACTGTACAATAGCAGAGCTTCGTTGAAGGGATGGATAATTCCTTTATAGAGGTTTTGTAGTTCGGGTTCGTCTTTGCCAGGAACAAGAAGAGAGGGGAGAAAGATTTGGGGAAAAGAAATATTGAAACTAAGCGTAAAGATTGTGAATCGTAAAGGAATATTAGGTTATCCACGAGAAAATAAAAACAATGATTTTTTAACAAAAATAAAGAAAAAAAAAATGATAAACCCAAACAAAATTGACAGGTTTTTGTTGGGTAAACTTTGATTTTTTTTTTCCAAAAAACATGTGGTTCATTGCCGATGAATACTTTTTGAATAAACGGTGATTATCACTCTGGCATACTTTTTCTGAGATTCATATCAAAAGAGACACTTTCCGAGTTTTTCAAGTTTTTTTCACTGTTCAAAATTATTCAATACTAAAATACCCCTGAATTATATTGATGATGTGCCAAGGAAAAAGTTTGTATCATTCTCTTTCTTCTGCTTCTCCTTCCACGTCAATTCTCTTTCCACATTCTCTTTTTTTTTTTTTTTTTTTCTTTTTTTTCTTTACCATTTTAATTTTATTATCATTTTAGTTACTTAATATGATATATATTATTTATTTTTTTATATAATTAATTAAGATTTATTTTTTCCTACATTTTAAGATCCATTGTTGCTATATTTTAAGTGAATAATTATATTACATATTATCCATTTCCGATTGAACATTTGTTTATCATTAAATGGATATTCAAAGGTACTAGAACAAACATACTACACCAAAATTTATAACTACTGATCATCCAAACATATCCGTTAAACTTTGACCATATGAACGAATAAAGATAAGGTTTTTCGGTGTAATATAAATCCGCCAAACTTTGATCAAGTGTTTGTTGTAACAACACCAATCACTGCTCCGAGTTCAGATCTGAGTGATGTGTATGTAACTTCGTTTAAATGAATAACACTAAACCCTAACATCTACCTTATAAACCCAAACAGATATGCTATTTTAAAAAAATTTATAACACTAAACCCTAACTCCTACCTTATAAACCCAAACCGATATGTAAGTTTGTTTAAATGTATAAAAATATACCCTAACACCTACTTATCAACCCAAACAGATATATAAGTTCGTTTAAATGTATAAAAATATACCATGACAAACTACTGACCATCCAAATATCTCTTTCAAACTCTGACGATATGGATGTATATAAAAAACGTGTCCATACAAACTCTAATAAAGAGTCAAGCAAGGGAATTCGTCCATTAGCGTTCGAACATATGTTTGGTGTTTTAAAGAACTTTTGACTATATACTTGACAGTTCCAATTGTCATTCATCTACGTTCATCCGTTTTAAAACATATTTTGTTTCTAAGTGAACACAAACTACTGACCATCCAAACATATCCGTCAAACCCTATCTTAAATGCGAAACAGAATGGTAACAAGATTTCCAAGGTTCTTGGTCATGTCCCAGTGGACGCCGAAAAATTAACATATTTTATATATATGGTCACGTTCACATGGATACTGGAAATGCAAAATTGATTCAAGATTAAAAACTAATTAATAAAAGACATTAACTTTTTCATATAAAAGAGATGGACATAAGAAAAAACCTTACAAAATCAGACAAAAAGGAGTCTTACTATTACTACGTTTTGTAGTTCTTCCAAGCCCAAAACCAATGTTGGATGAGATGTGAACATTGGATTAAGAGAAGTTTAGGATAAGCCTTTACGAACGAACACAAACAAAATTGTGTGCTTAATGTTCCGACGCAAACACAATTCCTCAAAGATTTACTGTTTTGATAACTAAAGATTCGTGCATTTCATCGATTCCACCACCCTTTATCCATGCAATTTATCATCCCTTCATAGTGAACAAATGTTCAATCACATGTAAATAATGTGTAATGTGGAGGAATATGGATTTTGATTAATTTGAATCAAGTAGTACCCGATAGCATCTGGTTCCCAGGGACTTCACGTAGCAACTCGGAACCACCAAATGACAAGTTTCGTTATAATTTTGATTAAGCTCGCAAGCTTAACTTCAAACTTTTCATTTTTGTCCATAAAACCATGTCCAAACGATGTATTCCATATGATCAGACGAGTTGTTTCACCATAATTGCTTCTGTCTCTTAGTTCTCAACTCAAGAAAAAAAGGATAATTGTCGAACTAAAGCACTGCTTACCAAGGAAGTAGTTGAAACCGCCACAAGAATTGGTTTCTCGGGTTAAATACTTCAAAATTATTAAGATCCAATAGTGATGTAGTTTTCTTTGTCCAAACTAATTTCATATTGAATAATTATAGTTTGTAGTTGATGCCTACTCTACTATTTGTTTTTTTTTTGTCAAGACTATTTCAAATGAAAACAAGAAAATATAAATATATCACCATGAACCTTAACTCCTACCTTATCAATCCAAAACCCTAAAATCCTAAACCCTAAACAAAACCTTAAACTGTAAACCATAAACCCAAAACCCTAAAATTTAACATCTAAACCCTAAACCCTAAACCCTAAACCCAAAACCCTAAAATTTAACCTCTAAACCCTAAACAAAAAACCCTAAACCCTAAATTTTAATCTCTAAATCAAAAACCCTCTATCGGTGACTTTTAAAGTGGTGTTGTCGATATGGTCATCATGTTATTCATGCCAAGTAGTCTTTTCATATTGATACAAATATAGTTAACTGTTACACTATAAAACTAAACCCAATCTATTGTTCGAATCCATTTGGTTATGGTATAAAATAACAATATCCCTTTTTCAAGCCGGTGTGAGTTACTAGTTGACCACATGAAAAATGTATTATCAATATCCATGTAGACGTGACCATATACATTGACAACTTTTAATTTATCGGCGTCCATTAGGATATGACCATAAACAGAATGAATCAAGAAAATAACATAATTGTTAAGTTCAAACCAAGAAAATTCATATGGACTGGACCTTAGTAAAAAATTTATGTCCATTTTTCGGCTTCTCACTTGTATCCTTCTTTTCTGGGTTTTTGTTTATTGTTGTCGGATCTTCAGATGCCGGAGAAAGGAATGATTTTTCCTCCAGTACCGAGCCAATTGGTGCTTTTACGGCCAAGCCCTTTGCTTCAATGGCGGCTTGGTGCTCTTACAACACTCGTCTTCTTCCTCATGTTAGTCGTTTGGAGTATTGACGGTTGTTCGATTCAAAGCTTCGTTGAGCCATGGAGATTCAATTCAATGCATACTCTGTTCGAATCAGTCCTTCTCCGTCGCCTTAAATGTCACCGGAACCCAATCTAGTATCAGAGAAACCTCACCGCCAAAATCTTACTTTGAAGACGACGTGGGTTCCACGAAATCTGGTTCCGAAGAAGACGAATCTCACTTCAAACTCGACCCGGGTCCAATTCGGGTGGATTACCGCCGACTTGCAGAAGAATTTCACGGCGAATTTGATGAGAAATTGGTTGGCTCCGGGAGGAGCACCGTGCAGAGAAGCGAAAACCGTCGAGATTTCAGTTCCCGGCGTCGACGGGATTGATTCTGTGGAGTTAACCGCCGGCGAGATTCATCAATTCAAATTTCAAGCAATAGACGAATCTGGAAAACATGTTGCTCTTCCATGGAGATCTCGCCGATAACAGCAGGTCCGCCGCAGTTACCACACATAGGGTTTCTCATAGCTTCGCGTACAGACATATTCTCAGCTCGAAGCTTATCGTTCTCTTGCCTCAACAAAGCATTCTCATGTCGTTCGATTTGAGTCTGTAAAAACAAATCAAAAATCAAATAAAAAAAAAATCCAGAAAACGAAGAAGAAGAAGACGAAGATAAAACCTTCATCTGAGTACGGCGATTCTGGAACCAGAATTTGACTTGACGAGGATCTAAATTAAGTCGACGGCTAAGATCAAGACGTTGCTTCTCGTCTGGATGTGCACACTCTTTAAAAACCCTAAAAATCGAGGATTGAAATCGATATCAAAAATCAAAACAAGCTTTGTAGAAGTAAAGGAGATTTGTGTGTTTAGTGATTTTACGATTCAAGGTCTTGAATTTGTTTAGGAGTGTGACGATGATAACGTTTCTTCTTCTTTAAAGGTCTATCGGAAGTATCTAAATCGTCACCGGAGACAGCTTCAGCGTTATCACTTTCAGATCTGCTTTCTACATCTTCTCCTCTACTACTCTTACGAGTTATGTTCGACTCGAAAATCTCTCCGTTTCTACTCATTTCTCCATTTGTTTGCTGCCAAATTTGGAGAGATTCTGATAAGTAGCTATAAGAAGAAGAAGAAAGCCAAGATTTAGAGAGCTTACGAGTCCGAGGGAGAGGCCTGAAGAAGAGAAAGGACGAGAATGAGAAGAAGCAATGGCGGTGGTTCCGAGCATGGTGGTGTCTACGACGGAGAAAGAGAAGTGGTTGTTGTACGGAACATCGGAGAGTAGCTTTGAGGCTCCAGAACCGTCGTCGAGAAAACCGTTCAAATTCATGAGAATTATCAATTTGATAAAAGAGGAAAAATGAAAGAGCTAGAAGAAACCGATGAAAAGGAGAGAGAGAGAACAGTAAATGAAAAAGAGATGGAGAGAGAGATTCGTCGATGGTAAACAAAGATATCCCTTATATATTAATTGAGAAGCATTTTTAAAAAATAACCTTATCCTTACGTGTGATTAACAAAAATGCCATGCTGACGTGTCGCGTTAACAGAGCTCCTCAACTCATTTAATTAATTTTTCAACCTATACTAGAATATTTACATCAATTTGCCATTGGTATTAATAACACTTATTTTACTCATTCAGTAATCCAAAATTAAAATTAAAAAATGCACTTAACGTAGCAAGGCACTTAACATGTTCTTATTTCAATCAATTAATTAAACAAAATTATATTTAACATTTGCAGTTAAGATTTACTAATCTTTACAAGATGAAGCACCTAACATTTTCTGTATCGATTAACTTCACAACTATACATGTTTTTATCATATATACACGTTACATTTAAAAGGATGAATCAATTTAAAAATATTAATATCCACAAAATATCTAAAATATGGAATCTAACAATATTTGATAATTGATTGGTAATTCAAATTCTTCCACCGATTATGGTACTTGCTAACTATAAGTTAATAACCGAATTTATAATTACCTCAAAACTTTCATATATGGACTTATATAATTTTACCATGTACTACTATATGTATCCTAACAAAAGAATATTGAGATATATTAGTTGACTTATCCAAAACAAAATCCTAACAAAAGATATATAAATATTAAGAAATTATGATTTAGAAAATATACATGTAAAAGAATAAATTTCGGAGATACTTTAAATGAAATATTGATTTTAAAACTTTAAAGAAGTAGAAAATGTAGGAATGATATTGTGAAATTAATGGAACCCATATTACTCCCTCAATCTTTTAGTTTGATTTAGTTGATCAATAATAAAGCATTTTTTCAAGAGTCTACATGTAATCATATAATGAGGTGTTTTAGTTTTGATGTTTTATGAATGTGGTCAAGAAACATAAAATATACGAATTTAATTATTAAAACACACAGAAAGATATATGTGCCATAAATGATAATATTTCATCAATACTTTATCCACATGGAAGATTTTTACCACGCTCAAATATTTTACGGGTGAAATCAAATTCTTATACAAAATATTTGCAAATTTGAATTGAACAAAAAACTTTATTATATATTTTGTTTTATACAAACGGATCTTGGATCATATTAATAATTTTACCTATTATAGTTTTACTTGAATCGTTTTATCCCGCACATAGTGCGGGTTTTTATCTAGTTATTCTTTGTTTCAACTCTTTCAACAAAAAAGGGTATTTTAGACTTTAATACAGAGAGAAAAGTTGTGAAAGATGAAAGTGTGTTATATTGAAAGAGAACTTGAGAAAGTATGTCCGAGTGATATTATTCCTTGAATAAATGCTTTTGTTACATTTATTTTAACATTGTAAGCGGATCTTGTGACCCGAATCCAACCAACTAAGCAAAAGATCTGAAATTAGGGACACAAGGGTCTAATCAAATTTACCGTATATGACTTCCATAAAAAAAATAAAATTATTTTACCCTTGGTATCTTTGAGAAATATTTTTTTCTCGGATTAAATTAGATTTAATCAATATTCGAGTTGTGTAATTTCTGAATATTAACTTAGGGGTTATTACTGAATTGGGCATTTGTTGGGCCAAAAATTTGAATTAAGGGACAATTGTCCGGGCTTCGTTTTTAGGCATTTTCTAGGATAGATGTAATTATTTATTTACCCCTGCTCTCTCTCTTTATCTAGTCATCTTCTTCTCCTGACAAAAACTTTGCTTCTCCGACCAAAACCATGCTCTTCCGGCCACAATCCTTGATTTTCCGACCATAATTTTGTATGTTCCATCAACAACATCTCCGTAAACTCCAACAACGCCGTCACGTTCAACTCTTAAACCTATCTCTTTCTCCGACGAAACACAAAACTTCTCCTATAATTTCAATGGATTCGATTGATTGTTTTCAAATAAAGAAATCTAAACCCTAATAAGAATTTAGTAAACCCAAGGGCTCTAATCATAAACATTAATTGAATAAAAACTTCCAATTCAATTGAATAAAATTTCCAATTCATCTTCAAATTTAGGAATATGGTGGTGCATGCGGAGAGGTTTAAAAGAATTGATTTGGCCACCTATGTCACAAAAGTGCACTTATCTTTTCGGTCAACTGTTCTGAAAGAACTCCACAGTTAAGCGTGCTTGTGCTGGAGTAGGTTCAGGATGGGTGACCTTCCGGGAAGTGATTGTCGGAACTGTGTGAGTGAGGACAAAACACAGTAAAATATCATGTGGTGATTTGTAGGGTCGGTAAACAAGTCTTTAAAGCCTCCCGGACGTAGCAGACCGCCCGTCAGACACGGATGGGCCCATGGGCCCGAGAGAGGATATGGGGCCCACTGGTAGGGACGGTCGGGGCGTTACAACAAGAACCTTTATAATTCCACTCATTCCTGATAATAAACTCAACATGTACGCATTCACTTAAACTAATTTTTCATATAATAATGAGTTTGTAGTTATACTCTTGTCAAAAGATATTGAAAAGATACTAAAAAACAAAAACTTCAGAATATAATTTCCGACCTACCGGATGCGAAACAGTGACCTAAGGATAACCTGCGTCAACTACAGTCCTCCGCTCTACCAACTGAGATAAGGTTGGTTTTGTATTGTAACAAATTATGCATGTAGATGATTCCAAATAAGACTTTTACTCAATCTGAAAATAATAGAGAAGAGAAGTACAAAGAAAGTTGACTTTATAGCTTTCACGTTGTCGTATATATTGATTCGCATTTTTATATGAATACTAAAAACTAAAAAGAAACTAACATGATCGATGGAAAACCATTCAAAATAAAAGTTCCATAAAAAGTAATACACAATTTTAGAAACTTACAAACACAATAAATAAAAACGTGAACGGCAGGATTCGAACCTGCGCGGGCAAAGCCCACATGATTTCTAGTCATGCCCGATAACCACTCCGGCACGTCCACTTTCAATAAAGTATACTCGTATTCCAAAATAGACCAAGCCATATACAATTCTCTATACTAAATGTTGATCTCGAGCAAGAAGTATACAAGCCTAAGCATGATGCAATTTCTGAACTAAACCAACAAGTTTAAAACCCTAAACAAATTTTGGCTATCTTCATTTTTCACTATTCTAATACATTGTTTTGAATAGGAATTTTTTTTTTATTTAAAGAGATCCATTGTTGATATTTTTGGTTTTGACTAACATATATGAATTGACTGTGGATTATGATTGTCTATGTACTTGAAAAACTAAGCCACCAAAATCGTGCAAGAAAGTGGCAAAGGGCATTTCACTACCCTTGGATGAACGTTGACATTTTATAGGCACAACCCTCAAGCCTTTGAATATAATTATGCCAATAGTTTTTTTTTCCTCAAAACTCTATAACTATATCTTGATTAAATGAAAGAAACTAGGAAAGCTCATAGTATTTAGAAATTTTTAAACCATTTCTTATGGTATCAATATTTGAGAAATTTAAACATACCAATCGTGTAAGAATTCTAACAAATCTTTTTGATTAAGTCTAATTCTCTGACTAACGTATACCAATTAGATCTAATATTCAACAAACCAAATGTCACAACACAGAAAAAGACCCATGCAAGAGAAAATTCCGACCTACCGGATTCTAACCAGTGACCTAAGGATATTCTGCTTCAACTACAGTCCTCCGCTCTACCAACTGAGCTAAGGTCGGATTTTATTATACTCGACCCATGAGTACTACTTATATAAAAAATGAGTGAACACAATGATTTGCATTAAGTTAGGATACACATAGTAATCCATATCTAAAAAGTCGTAAACAAACTAAGAATGGATACAAACAATATAAGAAAATCGCATAATCTCTTAAATTAGTCTCGTAAATTTAGGAATTCGATAGGTAAACCAGTAGCGGTCTTAAGTATAGTGAAAAGAACCTTTATAATTCCACTCATTCCCGATAATAAACTCAACATGTATATATTCTCTTAAACTATTTTTTCATATAATAATGAGTTTGTAGTTATACTCTTGTCAAAAAATATTGAAAAGAAACTAAAAAAAAAAAAATTTCAGAATATATAATTTCCGACCTACCGGATTCGAACCAGTGACCTAAGGATAATCTGCGTCAACTACAGTCCTCCGCTCTACCAACTGAGCTAAGGTCGGTTTTGTATTGTAACAATTTATGCATGTAGATGATTCCAAATAAGACTTTTACTCAATCTGAAAATTATCGGGAAGAGAAGTACAAAGAAAGTTGACTTTATAGCTTTCACGTTGTCATATATATATTGATTCGCTTTTTTATATGAATACTAAAAACTAAAAAGAAACTAACATGATCGATGGAAAACCATTCAAAATAAAAGTTCCATAAAAAGTAATACACAATTTTAGAAACTTACAAACACAATAAATAAAAACGTGAACGGCAGGATTCGAACCTGCGCGGGCAAAGCCCACATGATTTCTAGTCATGCCCGATAACCACTCCGGCACGTCCACTTTCAATAAAGTATACTCGTATTCCAAAATAGACCAAGCCATATACAATTCTCTATACTAAATGTTGATCTCGAGCAAGAAGTATACAAGCCTAAGCATGATGCAATTTCTGAACTAAACCAACAAGTTTAAAACCCTAAACAAATTTTGGCTATCTTCATTTTTCACTATTCTAATACATTGTTTTGAATAGGAATTTTTTATTTATTTAAAGAGATCCTTTGTTGATATTTTTGGTTTTGACTAACATATATGCATTGACTGTGGATTATGATTGTCTATGTACTTGAAAAACTAAGCCACCAAAATCGTGCAAGAAAGTGGCAAAGGGCATTTCACTACCCTTGGATGAACGTTGACATTTTATAGGCACAACCCTCAAGCCTTTGAATATAATTATGCCAATAGTTTTTTTTTCCTCAAAACTCTATAACTATATCTTGATTAAATGAAAGAAA